CTGAGATAGCTCGGCCATTCCGCTCGATAGAACACCGATTAAAAAGGGGTACGTGTACACCACGGACATTTGTACAGGTCTCTCTCGAATAAACGTCCGTTCCCCTCCGCGAGTTCCGTTATCGTCGCGAAACCGTGGAATCGCGATCGAACAGATCGAGCGTGGATAGGTTTGTTGTCGCGCATTGTATACCCACATCAGCTGGGAATTGGCTTCCGATGGAAGCCGTGTGTTATAAACAGAATCAGATCGATGCTGCTTGTCTCTAGTCAAGTCCTGATCCGCGAATTAGAACTGCAACCTTTTTTTTTTTTTTTCATTAATGCCTACTTAGATTTGTAAAGTTACATGTGTAAAAAGCATACATTATTATGTGAACATCGTTGTGATGGGTCATCAATATTCCAGATAGACAAAGGGATTGTCGGAAAACAGATGGCCTGAGCATTGAAAAATCTCTTCGAAAACCATTTCACGAGAAGCATGCTGATCAGACTTTTTGCGCGTTTTTCTGTATAAATACTGGTACCACGGCAAAGAACCGAGCCCCTTGTCGATACCAGAAAGGGTATAATAGTAGGAAACGGTGGACAGTATACGGGAATGCGGAGTAAATGGGTCGAGGAGACTGCGGAAATGGGTCATAGCTTCGACTGGCACCACGGATCGATGGCACACGGCACACCACGCGTTTCATTAGGATCCCTGGAAACGGGGGGCTGTTCGGGGGTGGCTGTTGTTTATTTATTCTCGCGACGGAAATTAACGAGTCGAGATCCATTGAACACATCGTTCCGATTGTCCTCGAAAAGCGATCAAAGGAGTGACATCCTTGGATACAAGTTTTTCGATGAAAATTATCCTTTTGTATACATACAGTGTTCGATTAAATGAAAAGAATGTATTCCATATTTTCGACTTATTTTCTCATATAGAATCACCCCTTGCACCGCTGGGCGTTAAAGGGTTAATTATCACACCTGGTCCCATACTTCAAGAGAATCGACCTTCGAAAGAATCGAATCGAAACATTCCTGGCGTACACACGAATACGTTTCCGCGGGAAAACGTGTGTCACAATCACAACGTAAGGGGCCTGTTTTGTTTTCTTGCGCCTACGAACGCGATACGCGGCCTCTGAAAATAACGGGTCGCGTCGACGTGTGTATCGTGGCGGCGGTAACGAAGAAAGGAGAAAAGGGGAGGCAAGAAACAAGAGGGAAGGAGAGGGTTAGAACTCTTCGTATAGAGAGGAAGAAAGACGATAAAGAAGGCGGTAGTTGCAAGGATCTCCCGCCACGATTCCCGCTTAAAAATAAAGTCTTACGTTCGCATTTTCGTTCGCCGCGTGGGTTTCCGCGCGAAATCACAGCCGCGGCAGTGCTCCTCCCTCTGTTCGCCGTGTGACAGGCGGTCAGGGAAATATAATATTTAAATCGGATAGGCCCGAATGGAGAAAAGTTGAGTAGCGACGAGGAACGAGTTGAGGGGAACTGAACGGGGAAACGAAATTACACAATGGACAGTTTCTCCGTGAGACGATATCGCGATCGTTGAGGAAAGATCTCGTGGTCGCCGCGGAGTGACTTGTTGTTTGGTGGTCCCGAACTCATTTAAGAGAATCGGCCCTCGAGAGAGAAGAGATCCCCCAAGGCGGGTCCCGATGTTGATGTCGAGAGGCGTGGATTCGCGATCGCGAGCAGAATGACGACCACCCACGGAGGACACGTGTATTACGTGATCAAGGTACCGAAGGACGGGGACGGCAATGAAAGGTAATGGCTCCTCTCTTTTGCCATACGATGATCTTTCTTTCCCTCCGCCAGAGATGGGAAAATTCATTAGGTAGATTGTATCGAATAACGAATAGAAGATTCAACAAAAATATTTCGCTATTTTTTATTGATTAAACAGGGGTAATTTGAATTTTTATAATAAAATAATGTTTCTTCTTAGACGAGTAGACACACCAAATTATTTAATTTCAGAAACTGTTTGTTGGATTTGTCATGATTCGTTCTAATGAAAAATATTTTGAAAATGATGTAGAAAAAGATGCAGATGAAAAAAGTCTGCTTCACGAAAGTGGAACTGGTTCACAATCGGTAGCTATTTTAATGCTGTCGCTTATAATCCCGTATCGCTATGGAACAAATACTATTGCGATGAATAAGCCTTATTTTGTTCGCGTTGTCAACGGCGTCGTTTAGATTGCAGGCCCCGAGACATAAGACGATAATTTGTTGAAACAACGACGATGATAACGTGGAAACGGTAATGCAATCGCGAGTAATTGAATAAATATCCAGTCGATGAATTCATACACACACTATCTATATATTCACATTTTTCAGTGTACACGATTTATTCCAAAACTTTCCGAATTGAAGTTTTAAAAGAACAATTTTTCGTATAATATTTTAGACTTTTTGTTCCGCCATCTTCGAGAAGAATATAATCATTGTGAACAGAGTACATCTCTTCAAAAAAAGAAAACTATTTTTAACATCTGACGCTGAAAAGCATCGTAATTTTTCCGGAAAACTTGTTTCAATTTCAGCTCGGAAATTTTTGAGGACACAACCGTGTATTCTGTGAACGTTATCGCGCACGGCTAACCGAAGCAACAGTTAAATATAAAACGATGATCTCTATACGCGTGCAAAGACCGATTTTATTCAAGTCACGACGACGTTTCCCCATGAATCAGCCGGATTCTCGATCCTTCGACTCCCCGCAGCTCCATTCCTGAGTCAATTGCGTCTTCTTTTAGTACCCTCGGCCGTCTCAAAGTTATCGCGCAATTATTAATTCGAACGTCGAATTTTTTACCAATCAGTCGATGCATACATATTCGATCGAAATAGTAAAAAGAGGTCGTGAATTAATTTACGAAATATATTAACCCTTATCACATCAAGAATATTGGAGTAATAAGGATTAACCATGAACAAAATAATAATACCTAACTATATTACCATGGTCGGGGCTGTAGAGGAGTAAAATGGCAATGAGTTCAGAGGCCCCTCTATCCTAAGTTCTATCGTCATATGGGAATTATGTGACAATATAGTTAGAGTCAACTGTATAAACAACCCAACTCTTTTGTTGGTTGCCTCGTTTTCAGTCGATGAAATGGATCCCTTTTGTCGACACGCGTGTCCACCCTACCGCCATTCGTCCATTGTCGCGAACGCTGTCGGAACTGCGGACAAACGCCATGGAATGCGATCCGGGAAGATTAATCGCAGGCGGGGGCGGGGGAAAACGTGAGGGAAGCAGACCGAGCCGCGCGCAGTTTCGCAATATCGGACATTATTAGTCCGGTTGGCCGTGGTCCAACGGTTCCGACGAGAGAGAGAAAGAGAGAACAGCACTAAACCGTTTCGCCTCGCCTTACCCTGCCCTACCTTTTTGCCCCTGGATGGTGTGCTCCATCTAAACCCCTTCCAATCGTCGTTTCGTTCGTGTCTTCCGGTCACCTTCGATCCTCTTCATTTGTCCATATGCTTCCTTCTTCCCCTCCCAAATAACATATGACGCCTTGAAGACGTCCATTTTACAGTTATTTTAGGTCTAAGGCGTCTTTAAGCCGTCTTCAAGTCGTCATGTGCTATCTGGACTGTGGATGAAATCCACGAATAATGAACGATGTGGTAAAAGGTGTCCTAGAATATATCCAACTACGTGTACGTTACGGGATCGATCGAAATTTCGAGTGTACTCGAGACCATACTCTCTCGTCTAACAACCTAGCGGAAGTACAGTGGACTCTAACTATATTGCCATGGTCGGGGCTATAGGGGAGTAAAATGGCAATGAGTTGAGAGTCCCCTCCATACTAAGTAGAACAGGTACGAAGTAGAAACAGGTCAAGTTTAATGTTCGCTGGTTTTCTGAACCGTCGAGCAAAGAGGGTACGTTTTAATCGCGAGTCGTTGCTCGGATAAGTAATTTGAACGCCTCGCTGGCAGTCCTTCGCAAGGATTATGTTCTTAACCCCGTTTATTTTAATGGAACCACCTGGCAAAGGTTGTTTATATTGTACTTATACACAAAGTTATTATTGTTGTTACTGCTGTGCCTCTTATTATCACCATTAATTGCGTCAAGTATATTATTTGTCTCGTTACACCGAAACAGCTCGAATACAGTCGATTAGAAGTGGTCGAAATACAGGCTAGGGTCTAAATAAGGATTAGTCGAAAGTATAGGTTCATGTTAGGTGCTCCACCATACCAGGAATATTGTGAAACTAGGACTGAAAAGAAGCTTATTCTAACTCCCATGTCATAAAGCAAACATGTTTTACATCCATCGAAGTGTTACGTCTAGAAAATCTTCAACAGGCTTGGCAATAAGTCCTGAAGTAAAAGTGCTAGCCCATATTTGGGCCACCATCTATACATGGTGTACAGTTTAATTGGTAACCAGTTAACAGTCCCATAAATTATATCTTGGGGAACAACCAGTCGTAAGTTCGTCGGTTCGATGAATTCACGGAACACAGTCCCCCGCTTCGTTCCGTGAAACGATTACGTCCGCTCGTTTGATGTACACGAATACGCGTGTGCAGCGTGACAGCAGGGAGCGGAGAGGAAGATTGTCTGCAATTAGGTGCAACGCGATACCGTGGCCAATGTCACGGTTAACTAGGAGTGGCGATTATAATTGGGGCTAATTTATCACGCGATATCGTAACTACCGAGCTAGAAAATACACGAAAAAAAAAAAAAAGAATACTTAAACGCCTGTGACCATTGCTCTCGCGAGAATTGAAGATTCACGAGATGTAGATGTATACTTTAAGGCTTAATTAATCGATACCGTTAACAAGTGATTTTGTATTAAGAACGATCGACGGTCGAGAGGTAGCAAGCAAACATATTCTTTCGGTTTTCACTCGAATATCAGAAATTTTGCCGAATCGATCGAAACACACGCAACGACGATAAGAACGAAAACGGGGGAAGCTTTTAATGGGAGAAATTAATTTGCAGCACGGACAGCGGTTGGGATAATCCGTTCAGACCAGACGGGGACCTTTCGAGGGAGGCCGACGAGATAGTCGAGCTGATAAAAGGCGGGAAACCCATCACGCCGACCCCCGGTCAGACCGCTCCGCCGTTGCCAGGATGCGAAACCGGTGTCGGAAACGGTCAGAGCACCCTCGACCACGATTCGAGTTCCAGCCCCCTGCTGAAGTCCACAGGGAACGCGACGAATCGACACGCGAACTCGTCGCCGAAGCCCGGCCAAGAGAACGGGAACGCCCATAGCACCCCGATGAAATCCGCGACCGCGAACAGTCAGCAGCCTGTCAACGAAAAGGTACATGTCCACTCATAGACGGTTCATTCCTCGTGAAATCGGACATTTTTCTTTTGTTTACAACATTTCGGATTTTTTTGACACTTGGATATTGTGTAATCTTTAGTGACTATACATATAAACGTATCTTGAAGGATTATCGAAAATTTTTTTAATTGTTTATTCTACAGCTGTTTGAAATATAGTGTCAACCTTTTTTTTTTTTTTTCAATAAATCATAACTAGACTGCGGATTTTTATGCAAAATCACATTTTATGAAGTAATTCATGAAGATAAGAACAAAAGCAGGAATTTCCTGTTTCGTTATAACTGATTTTATAGAGCCCTGTAAATAATGCATAAAATCCGCAGTCTAAGCATAACTGGTGAACTAGGAAACTGATCAAAATAAGCTTCGTGGATGGTTATAATGGAGACATAAGAGTACATAAGAAATATATTTTTTAACCAGTTTATTTTGCAGTTGTTTTAAAGAATTTCCTGTTCGAATGTTCAAAACTATGGCCAATTTGGAAATGTCTTTATTTTTGAATTTAATCGATAGTAAAATTATAGACTACCATCGTTCTGGGCAATAACCGGTGTGGTTTGTCGTTGCATACACACAGGTTGCCGCGTCGTCGAGGACAGCGACCGTGGAAGTGGCCAGAATGACAGCGCAGGGGCCAGGCGACGCTTCGCAGGTCGAACACGTCACCCTGAAGAAGAAGCCTAAATGCAAATGTTGTATTCTTCAGTAATAGGAAGGGAAAGACACCACGAGCGCGAAGCGGACCGAGCAAGGATGTCTGAGCCCACCGGACGGACGATGATCGTTCTTCGGGTCGTCGAAATGGGGACGGTATTTTCGCGACGATTTTCTTCGGGCGAGAAACGGTGTTCTCCTCGCGTGTTCACCACCGTTTTTCCGAAAGGATCACTCGGTCACCGCGTGGAAGAACGACCATACACGATTCCCTCTTCGTCTGGGGTAACCAGTTTTCCCGAAGGAACGAACGGGGTGAAAACAGCAGCGAAGTGGAGGGAGAAAGAGACACGCGCCCATATCGGAACGTTTTAATCGAGCGCGACGCGCGGTGGATCTCTTTCTCGGGGACGAGTTCTCGATTGTTCAAGGTTCGTCTTGTCACAAATATCGAGAGGGATGGCTGCTGCGAGGATTTGGAATGATTTCGCGGCAACCGCCGACGATTTGGTTCGATGGAAAAGGGATAAGGAAAAGGGGGGGAGATTCTTAGGAACGCGCTTGGAACTGTACCGACACGACCCGGAAACGGAGGATAAGCTGAACGCGAAATTTCACCCGAGCCTCTTGATGATAGCCTTTCAGAGACAGTGGAATGTCCATATAAAGTACATAGTGACTATGAATGAAGAGAATGAAGAAGAAAAAAAATTATATATATATATATATATATACATAAAACTATATTGTAGATACAGAAAATGGTAGTTGTATAGCTTATATGCTTTTACTATTGTGGTTAATTACTGTCAAAATTATCGTGGTTTCAAGAATGTATGAACGGAACGAACTAACACGGGCGTGTACGCGAAAGAAAGTCGGACGTGCGTGCGGGGTTCACGGCGCCCCAGGAGAGAAGAATCATGTTTAAAACTTTACCGGGGTTCATACGAGAGAAAAATGACGAAAAGCTAATTATTATCACTTCGTTGGACATCGATATAATACTACGATAGGTTGATAGATTCTCGTTTTTACTAAGAAAAAAAAAACAGAAACACTCGAACCTCTTCTATGCAAACGTTTATGAACAATTTTTTAACCATCGCGTGTAGCACATTGCGCCAATCAAAGGGGTAGTACTACTTGTACACACGAATTGTGAGATGAGACTAATTGTGGACGAATGAGAAGGAATATAGCGGAAATAAAGCCGGCGTATTTTTATTGTCGCGCGCGAGCAAATGCATCAAACAACCGTGTATAGTTAATTCTTGATGAATGTTCGAAGGCTCTTCGGTACTGAACATGAAATATTTCATAAAATAATAGCCGTATGCGGCTGAAATAAGTATCATTGGCTTCAGAATTCCAAAAATTCCTTCGAATACTCGTCGAGGATTTACTGTATCTTTTCTCTCGGCGGTGTGTGTATCATCCTCTCGTTAATCGCTTCTTCACTTCGACACGCGAATCCGTGTATATGTTTTTTGGTTGCCCGTTCTTTTTTCTACGCCTCTCTCGCACTCCCTCGAGAGAGTGGGAGATAAAGAGACAGAAAAACACGAAAGAGCGCGTTGAGTAACTAATTCAGGATCACTCGCGAACGTCCCACACGGAAATCTGTAAATATCGCGATATTTTTTCGAAAGCGTGTATTGTGTGACAATTGTGTCGACGATCTCTGGCGCGAGAACGCATCCGCGCGGGGAGCAGTTGCGAGCGAGATTGCTGTTGGAGCACAAATAAAAGGCAAAAAAAAAAACATTCGTGACACGATCGGTGCGTATGAACGATCGTTCGACGACTACAGTAAATCATCTATGAGTCTTGGCGATGTCTTTCGAACACTCAGTTGTCGAGGACCCTACGAAAACTTATCGATAATTTACTGTACTTGTTCCGCGAACGTTCGTTTCTTTTTTTAATTGGATGACGCTTTAATTTATTTACGGAACCACGTATTTACGTTTCTACGTGTGTGTCCTTTCGCAGCTTGACCCGTTTTTATTTCTATTTAAACTTTGTATGTATGTATGTATGTATGCGAGTACGTAACGTTTCGATGGATATTCCGCCAAGTGTGTGTGTGTGTCTGCATCGATGAGATTAGAGAAGAGATAGCGGAACAAACACGCGCGTTTACGCATGGCTGTTCGTCGATGGGGGTCAAAACCGTTGATCGGTCTCGCCTCGCGTATAATTATTACGTGTAAAAAAAAAAAAGGTTAAAGGATCGTGTTTATCCGCCGCGCGAATCGGAGACCGCTCGCTTGGACCCTCGAGCTGTGTCGTATGGAATATAATCGCTGTATGAAATAAACACCGAACAAGATTTTTTTTGTATGTTTAACTTCGAAGGTTCAAGTACAAATTGAAATTTTTCGTAAACATAGCGAGGTTCACCGGCGATGCTCGAGGTGAAGACCTGATTGTCCGACAGTTGCATCGAGCGAGAACGATCGGTTCGCACGTTTGGTGGAGACGGTGATGTGTAGACTGCGGATTTTTGTGCAAAATAAAATTCTATAAATTCATTCTTGAAGACAAGAACATCTAAACAAGAATTTCTATCTTCGCTTAAGTATGTTATTGGGTTAAGAACAAAATCGAAAAGTCGTTGCATTCGATGAATGTTTTGTCTTTTATATTTCTAGAATCTATAAATGCATAAAATCCCAGTCTAGTGATGTGTATTGTGTGCGTGTGTGTCTGCCTGCGCGAATGCCTGTATTTTTTTAATACACATATCCGCGTATTTTCCTAGATCCGCGCCATGGGGGCAAAAGATATTTAACGAAAAACGGTATGCTGAGGTATAGCTGGTGGCGGAACCGAGGGGATGGAATGAATTACAGAGACAAGCAAAGGGGAGTTCGATGGAAAATGAAATATAAAATTTCTTTTTAATACTTTCGTTTGTTGTACGCTGTTGCAATGTATGTTTAAGGAGCAGAGTGTAATATAAAATTGTAAGTAATAGGAGAGATCCTGAATAATTTACTCTCGCGTCCTGGCTAGTGTGTGTATCCACGAAGGAACGTCGGTATTCGAAGAAAAAAAAAAGAAAAAGAAACTATATATACGTATCAAGTACCAATGTACATGACAGTCACACGACATGCACAGACACATACACACCACACACGCATGAGAACATGCAGAGACGCAGAGAGACGCGGCATGTCCAACTCTTTCGCTTGGTATTTCCTAAGAAAGTGATAATAAAAAGACTTGTGGAAATCTGTTGATATTCAAACTACTTATAGTATTGAAATTCAAAGTGGAAATAATATTTTACGTCAACTGGAATCGGTATGATCGGTACGTAATTAGTAGATAAACAAGCTTTCAAGTGAACTTTATTTTTTTTCTCTGTATATCCGTGTATATTTTTAGCCTGCAATCGCAAAGAAAAATCGAGAATGAGCCGCCTGATCACGATGAATCGTCGATTTGCTCTTTTGCAAGATCTTCGAACTGTCGATATATCGAGCACGTGTCCTTTAAAGGTTAACAGGAATCTGATCCAGCGACGGTAAACGCGCAACAATTATTTTCGATCCAAAGCATTTGCGTGGACACTATTTGTGCAGGTTAGCGGCGTTAAAATCTCTCGAGTCTTCGAAACTTTCTGTTCCCTATTTTTTCGTGTTTGCTAACAAACTAACGTCCATAAAAGAAAAATCTTTTCTTTGGAATCAAAATTTATCGCATTTTTTGTTCAACCCTATTGAATGTTCACTTTAGTTTTGACTAAGAAAGAATTTTTCTTTGGTCTTCCATTATCCCTAGAATTGATCTCGAACCGGTTAATCGCGCTCGGAGCAATCGGTAAAAGCGCACGTATTCGAATATTCGAAGTTTACTTTATTTCGAGAGAAATCCTTCCCACGCGACTTACCACGCAATGGAGAAAGGAAAACAAGGGGGGTGCCTGACCATCGAAGACTAGATACGTTGTTTTATGCTGAATGCAAATGAACGTGTCATGCGTGCATGCAACATTAACGTACGTAACAAACGTCTAAGATACATAAAAAATATGGAAAGTGTGTTCAAAATAAATTTCCAACTTAAATTTTCGATATTTCATAATACGAAAAATCATTGGGCTTCTGAAACGGCAGAAACAATCGATGAGCCAGCCTCTAGATCGACAAGCAGTGTAAATCTAAAATGATTAGCAACAAATTTACCAGAAGAGTTTCCAAAACGATATTTAGAAGTTTCTTTTGCAGTCAAAGGTGGCAATATAACGCTGACCTTTTAATGAAGTTCAGCACAGTAATAGAGCTTAGAATTCTGAAGCCAATGATATTTGTTTCAGCCACATATGGCCAGTTACTGTATAAAATACTTAATGTTTTTCGTAACGAATACACGAAGTCGATGTTTACTCCTTGACTAATCGACCCGTCGCGTTTCTATTCCCTGTTGTTTCCTCTCTTTTGTTTACTCGGGAGGAGAATCTTGGTCAGCGTGTGTACACGTCCTCGATAAGTCAGGTGTAAATCACGACAGATAAGTCCACGGTGGAAAACCGTACAGCACGTAATATCGAGTCTCGTACGATAACGCCGGCTGTCGCTCGATAACTCAGCGCGTGGATGCTCGGTCGCAAACGAACGAGAAAATACCTTTCTCTCGTCTCCAGTCTCGAGGAAGAACGATAGCCGTTTCGATTATGAAATCGTTACATCGTACGGAGGATCGGTATCGCGCAGCATCGGCTCTAGACACGAGGGACCGTGGATCCGCTCGATGGAAGATGCATGGGCGAGAGGCCGTAGATTGAGACGCGCGAGCAGGGGTTGCGGCGTGTAAGTAGACAGAATACGTCGCGAAAGAGAGGTTACGATCGGACATCTTTTATTTCTGACTGTCTCCTGGAATCAATTACACACCTTATAATCCTGCAGACTCGTGTCTGCCACTTCGTGTAAAACGTTAGTATCGTTTATCATGGATCGCCAGAAGAAGGATTCCCTCGATCGATTCGTGTACTCGCGAGCAGCAACAAGTTTTCTATTTCATTTTCACCCTGACAATGGATTTCGAGTAACATATGTTACGAACATTCGAATAGAAGTAGAATTCGAATTCTTCGAATAAATTATTCGTATTCAAAAGTACTCGAATTGTTTGAGAAATAAAAGAAATGTCACGAGTAGTGAGATTCTTTAGGAAGAATCTCGGAAACTATCACTATTTAGTCTACGACTGTACTACATTTAGAGTCCAGAAGAGAGTCTCGATGTTTCTCTAATATTAGCTTACGTACGTCTTGAACGTAATCCAAGGGGTTCACTCGACGCCTCTACCACGCTGGTACATTGTCCCGAATTCAAAGAAGGCGGCTTTTGAATGGGATTGCATTCTCCGATCGATCCCTTGGCCCTCCGCCAGCGATCGTCACAGAGAGTACAACGACCCCTTTTGACTTCGTCTCCTATGCCCTCTCCCCCTGTTCGTCACAATGACGAGGAGCTTAAACGCTTCTGCTAAACTACTCCAGAGAACGATCAGTCTCTCTTATCGGTATTCCCCTGTGAAGTAGGGAATAGCTGGAAGTGGAGGAACGTCAACGACCGTATCATGCGGATGGGTTCCATTATTCCAGTTACGTTGGCCAGGTCGTGGTTAGGATACTTTTCAATGGGGTAGTATCTAACAGTCTGAATCATTTTCTTCCATACGAAACATTTAAACGTTATTTTAAATTTAAATAAAATATTAATTAAGCAAGACACTACTTGTTTAACTACTTTATTAAGCAAAATGGTGGATTTCTTTTTAATACATGTAAGAACAAGAGGTGTAAGCACAATCTTGGTCCCACGGAAAATCGTGGGTAACAAGAATGGCACTTCTTCAAGGTACAATCGATGTTTGATGTTTGCATCGGTTAGCTGAGGCTCCGTAACCACGATCGTTGATCGAGATCGATCGGAAACCGGGTCGAAAGGGATCTTCGATCGGCTACCGGGCTACGGAATGCGATGGGTTCGGTACGAAAGAACGGAATAAAAGGGTAAAATGTCAACGTGACTCGGTTACTACCTTCGAAAGAGCAAACGCATCCTATTAGCAGTTCAAGAGATCGCATTGTTTGCCCGTGTGCCCTTAAACGAGCGAAATCTCATCCATCGTAACGACGTTGGCCTTTGGATCGCGTGCCAAACGGAATGGCGATAAATCCCAACCGTCTTCCAACGGCTGGGAGAAGAAAATAATCGCGAACGAATACGTATGTGAACGCCGATCGCGCGCTCCCGAGATCGCGAGATCGCGTCCTGAGTAATTCATCGAACACGTCCAACACACAACATCCACGAAGATACGCAACGATAGGGACCGTTCTTCGCGGTCCCAAGATGGTACGCGATGCGTTCGTCGAGTCTTCCGTGGGATTTCTACCTTATACATATCGTGGATGAGAACGAATCGGGACCCGTTCATGGAAACGTGCTTCGTCGCAAAGTCGACGTTACCGATCTAGGTCTGCGATTTCAGAGTCGCCCGTCAGCGAAATTTCAATTTTCTTAATATACATATTATCATTTAACAGTTCCCAAAAATCTTCAGACATTTTGCATTGCTATTAAAAACGATCACTCTACAGAGGACCTCCAGTTCTATAAACCTAAACGATCGAAGCACGTTGGATGCATAAGTAGTTCGCTTCGAGAGAAATCCTGACGTGACAAAAGGTTACCATTCTTGCCTGATGTATGGTCGCCGATGTTTGGAGATTATTCCGTGTATGAAACACTCCTAGATACCTCTCGATGGAAGAAGACAAAGAGACCGTCCGAGGGAAAAGAAATGAGATCTAGGGGAACGGGGCTCTCGGCGAGGGGACAAGGCGGGCGACGTGTCTTTCCGATCCCTCGCGAGAATCGGTCGCCATCAGAGGGGGGAACAAAACCGTCGTCGTCGTCCTTCCAGGTAACGGACTAGTATCGGGTATATAAAAGCTCGGTGAGCGAACGAGCACAGAATGTTTGTTGGCGGCTTCTGAAATCCATCGTGATTACCGTCCGCGAGTCGAGGAATACGCGTGTGTTTCGAGGGATGCCATTTCAAGTGTCGTCAGTGTAACCGATTCTCTATGGCGACGATGACCTCTCGGAGAATTGTGTCCCGATCGTTGGTACGTGTACCCAGGGAGAGCCTGGACTAGCATTCGATCGAGGTTTTTTATTTTTAACGTGACACTCAGTGAGGGTAGATTGTTCAGGAAACGTTCTGTGCCACAATCCAAGTCGAGGGGTCGCTTTTCCTGTGTCAGAAAGATAGTCCTTCTTTTACTCTGAAACATTGTAAATACGCTTGTATTCTTAGGTACGAGTAAATTTACGAGTCAAATCATACCTGGCGGTGGCGTAAGTTTTTCCTGTAGCTCTAAACTGTGCGGAATAGAAACGCTAAATTTGTCAACAAATAATCACAAATTAGAAACCCGTTTATAATGAAGTGATAAGGCAGAAACGATTATTCCAGAAAAGTAAACACGTGGTTCAGGCTTGTGTGCATTCTTCGCTGATATTTCGAGTGATCGTTACTGGAAGATCGGTTAGCCAAAGTGTTTTGTCTAAAAAAAGGTATATCATTTCTTAACTATTCGAAACGGTCGACGACAGTTCATGGGACAGCATTTAATAGACGTTCGTGGTAATTTCACGTGGATGCCGCGGGAGGGTCAATAAAGTAGAAAGTGTCCTTTCGATTCACCCGTCGCGGGTACGTGGTAACACGGGAAAGATCTTCGACGGCTGGCGATTCTCGCGTGCGTCGGTCGAGAGGTCACCGAGCCTCGAAAAGAACCGACCATCTTCGATGAACACAGCTGGCTTCGTAGCGTTCTCGGAAAATTACGTGTGTGTAAATCAGGGACACGTAATAGACCGGTGGCTAAGGTTATGATGGAGAATGCGTCGCATCTGCGCCTCGTACTCTCTCTGCGATGTCTATCGGATCGTTCCATGCATAATGCCTTATTACGTCTTCGAGGTTCAATCTGGAAACATTACAAAACGTGACACGCTGTGCCTATCGACTCGTTGGTAGATTCGTCATTTATTAATCGTGTTCCATTTTCACCCTTAGATAACCATAGCAATAAACAACCTTTCAACGAAAATCACCTATTATATGGGTCGAGTGTAAATTTGAGCGCAACAAATCGAAGTAATTCTTATTACCGAAACAGGAAAAGAACAGAAAGACTCTGAAATTTCTTGCGGTCTAAAAATACGCAGAAAGTATGTAATGGTAAAATTCGCGTACAACTTAGTAATTCTCAATTTAACAAGCTCCAAGTTTGTCAAAATAATTTCCTTCTTTCCATATTCTTCCATTCACTTGTAAACAGGGGAGAATTCGGAAACAAAGATGGTATCCTACTGGGGGGGGGGGGGGGGGCAGACCTAATGTAAACATTATAGAACAGTACAAGCTGGCAAAAACGAAATGTTACCAAATTCGAGTAGATGAACATGATACCGGGAATTGCTTCTTGCCTATTCCACCAGATCCTCTGGCTGATGGCTCTGGTCGCGTGCCCTTGCGTCGGTGAAAAGCTGTCCCCGGATCAAAAGGCACCTCAGTTCGCTCGTGGTTCCGGTGGGTTGATCCTGAACACGCCGTTCGAGGACAACAAAGCCCGTAACCGACCGATCCCCAGTGCCGCGAACACGGAGGATGGGGTGCAGAGAGAGGAAACCGAGACGTTGAAGGAAGTGGATGGCGAACTGGTGCGCGTCGTGAAGGGAAGCTTCGCCTACAAAAGTCCCGAGGGGCTTCCGATCTCCGTCAAGTGAGCCTCTATTATTCCTTTCGCGGTCGTTCTCTGATTTTCCTGAAAGAAACACAATTGTCGAGTCGACGTTCCTTCGAAGGTACGAGGCCGACGAGAATGGGAATAGAGCGAGCTTCAAGTTCGGCACCGGCGTGGCGGGTGGCTTGGGTCCATCTACGCGTCCTTCAGGGCCACAGGCAGGAGGAGGTAACAATGGTCGGGGCGGACAAACCGGGTCAGGATCGAAAGGATCGAAGAAGGATGACTCGTACCTTCCACCGAACAAAGACGTCGATAGAAGCTATCTTCCGCCAAAATAGAACCCCTTCTACGCGCGATGCTCGTGCCAAACGGAAGATCTGTCGTTGGTAAATCGTTTTGGGAAATTTTTCTCGGTGCACTTGCGGCGAAAGGTGTACAATCGGTGGAAGTTATACGTTAGATAACCGTGGACGTACCGAACCGGTAAATTAACTTCATTGAATCAACAAGTGTTCCCCCCTTTTTTCAACGAACCGTCATTTCGCGCTAATACAGAGGCTATTAAGCGTTCAAGCTCGTCGACGTGACGCCTACTTTTGTATTTCTCAAACGAGTCATATCGAGGAAGGAAAGACTAAAAAATTTAATATTTTCAGCAGTTACACCATTGGAAGCAAACGTATGGAAAAACTAAATCGTACATAGTTGATTGAAAGTACTATTTGTCTCGCGAACATTGCCACTGAAATTCCGTATCCCTTCCACCAGTTATACGTCTTATCACAGTCCGTGAACATCAACGTTTCTCATATTATCGTCGGTGCTATATACACCTTTGTTTTGTCACATTCACTCATTTACCAAAGTTCTTCAAAACACTGTGCCCAATTACCATTCACATATTGAGTTGTACTTTCGCTCGAAAGAATTATACAGTACGCGAGTAATTGCGTTTGAAAATTACTTGACCGATTAATTAACATATACCGCGTCGCGATGACTTTTATAAAGTACGAAATAAAATATACATTTTCCACAGGTGCTCGCGTTCATTTAGAAACCTAAACGATCAAGATTTTATTTTCCAATTACCGGTATGTTCTGTCGGTAGCTAGATTGCATAATTTCCAAAGAACAGTTAAAGTAAAAACAAGGATGTGGTGTTACTTCGTTTCAAAGACTCTGCACGATAAAAAACGTTTATTCTTACGAAATTTGATATTTTTATAACACAGCATTCGCGCCTTAGAATATTAATCAAACATTGAATTATCATTAGCATTCATCTTTCGGAACCACGGTAAGTGGAATAACCGAATGGGCTCAACAAAACTGGTATGTGATAGTGTCCAGCAGGATCCTTTACATCGAAAACGATTTCAATGAACGGATACATGGTTTCTATTCTCCGTAGTGTGAAGTACTTGTCAACATCGAAATGAATCTTGTAACGTCCAGTGGTAAAGTTAACTTTCATGTTATCTACCAAGTCAACGCATCGACCGTTTGGTGTAGTATTGCTAGAAAAATGAAACAATTTCTTTAATAATGCAATATTTAGATCGTAAAGATTACCAATATATTAAGAACGGTTTTATTTAAACCCTACCTTTCGTTTAGAAATGTCCATCGACCATCCATAAGTTTGTATAAACTGACTTGTAATCCTCCAACTGGTAGACCTTTACTGGTATCCACAACGTGCGTAGAAATACGAGGCTTTTTCGAAGCTGGAGATTTAACTGTCTTTACAAGAACATGCTGAAAGAAACCATACATAACTACGACAAATAAAATACAGAATCAAAGGAAACAAAATTTAACATTTCAAAGACGTATTCTGTATACTTTTAAATCGCTCGAAAATTAAAGTAAAATGACCCTCGAAGTGAATGTTGCAATTAACGTACTTTCTTTAGACTTTGGTAACTGGTACTCGCCACAGCCATCTGTTGGTCCTTGCTTATGGAAACGCCTTTGGAAGCATCTTCCTCTTCATTAGCTGCAATTGCAGTTTTCCGGTCAGCCATTACCAATGTAGAAAGTTTTGTCTTGAACTTACTCAGAACATACTGAGTGCCAGGTTGGAATGTACCACCTGTCAAAGTTAGAGTCTTGCCACCCGACGTTAGAGTAATCGTTTTACTCTGTGCAGGTGCGATCGGAATCGTATTTACGGGTTGTAGAACTCCTATCGCATTAGAGGGAGATGCAACTGAGGAATTTATTTGATAAGCTGTACCTAGAATAGGCAACGGGCATGTCATAACTACTCCGGAATCTCCTTGTTGTTTCTCGTCTTGCTGAAACATCATTGGTAAACGTAACATGAAGCGCTATGTTCAACGAGTCGCAGCATACCGCTATTTCATTCTGTACATTTACCAATACTTTTGTAGATTTTCTATCCATTCTATTCTCAGTTCTCCGTATCGCTTTTCCATTTTCATGCGACTCCTTCTGCGATTCTTTGTCAGGGTCTTCCCCATCATGAATGACTGACATAACTTGAATTTCGGGATTGCTTTGATCTTCAGATTCTACCGCCATATCCATGTGTACACCCTCTTGATTCTCTGTTTCTTCCAAGTACTCACTCTGCATATGATCCATTGCTTCTGCCAAAGGGTCTTCAGAGTTATGCTAACAAAATCAAAAATTCGAATTATATAAGTTCTTGAATCCAATCTGTAAATAATTAACAAAAAATACTATAATCAGAAAAACTTACTGCTCTCTCTAGTTTGATTTTTTTCATAGAATATTTAACTTCTTCATCATCCATAGACATTTGTATATCTTCATCCTCTTCCTCTTCTTCTTCTTTCTTAGCTTCGCCACTAACATCTTCATTTGGATCTTTGATTTGTGATTCATCTAGTTCATCGTCTGTTTCTAATCTCTCAACAACATACTCTACTTCTTCGTCGTTCTCTTCTACTTCCGCTTGCACATATTCAGATGCCTGATAAAGAAATGTTTTTACTTATTTTCACCAAATATTTATTATCATGTTACTGCATAAACATAAGTTGCTCTTAAATGTTTATTGATTATTTAAAGGAACTTATAAGAGTAAATAATACAAACTTCAATTTCACCAATCTCCACTTCAACTTCCTCCTCTCCCTTCAACTTTTGGGCAAGAGCCTTCTTCTTTTCTTCTACCTCGTGCAATAAAGCTGCACGCTGATGTTTCATTGTACATGTGTGCTTCAGTAAAGAAAGTCGATGGGCATGCAGGTTTTTCTTGCAATACAAGCAATAAGCACGAGTTGGTTGAAAAGGCACGGATGTCAACCATCCTACAAAAGAATGTTTCACTGTACATGAACACGTATGTACTGCACCATGTATACAGTTTAAATACAAAACACATGATACATATTTTACTACTTTACTAAGCTGCACATTTTGTTATTAACAGTATAAATAGATAGATAATAGTATAGATGAACATCTTCTATAATTTATAGAATATGTCATAGAATAAGATTCAGATATTAGATACTAGAATTCAATTACAAGGTTGAATTCTACATATAAAAATCCGGTAGAAGAGTTAAAATAGGTGCCTCAAAGTACAAAGAATAATGTGTTACTTGTATTTAGAGATTCCATAACTATAATTTACATTTTTGCTTTACCAGACAGTTCCTTTTACTTCGATACGTGATCCACTCTAATGTAATTAAGTAAACGAGTAGCACATTTCGTCTGAACATAAAATAAATCGAGTGATGTATAAGTAAACAGTGAACATACCGCAGTTGACATACTTTCATGCACCTGTACACGTATTCAGTAATTCGCAATTTCGCGGGCACTATTTCCTTCTCTCTTGGACAACCGCGATCTAATATCCCGAAATCTGGCATTTCACTAAACGCGTTTCTCTACCGTATGGTGATATCTGCTCGACAAACTGTCGAATTACCCAGCAGTACGTTTACTGGTAACTTATTAAAGCTAGTAATATGGTTAGATATGTAACGACCAGTGTTTGGTGATCACATCGTGTGTTGAAGGCGGTAGTAAGCTTATACAACTTTTCGGAAGAAAACTGACATACGTTTGGTTACCGATGAGAAAAGAACACAAAATCATTGGTGTAGAACTTCTTACGTGTACAACTATTGTGGAGATCGGTAATATGAACTAGAAAACAATGATACACGTTTCGTCAAGAACACGACGTATGGAGCCTGCGATTATGTACTCCGAAACGTTCGAAACTGTGCAAAATATCTGTCAACAGTCGAACAAATAACGGTAATGGAAGGACGTCGAAACGGCGTGCTCTCTAAAAATAATTAACTGGTCGTTCAGAGTGTAAGCATCATTGCTTAAGACCACAATGATCGTACATTGCAAGCATACGATTAACATATAGGCGTATAAGTATGTATATGCCTAGTATCCAGCGTGGCACGATTCACGGACGTCGCCAGACATTAACATCGGTGCGATGAGTTATTTTAAAGACTGCTATAGAACGGTAACAGGCTGGTACCTTTAAAATCGGGCATCTGTTCCCATTCTTTTCGATATCTCTGCGTGTAGACTCGTGTTTTAGCATGGCTGATTTTCCCTGTGGGGGTAAGACGCTGTCCTGACGGCGTCAGGAAATTCGTGTGCAACGGTTTCACGTCGTACACGGTTTCTGGAGTCGTAATCATAGTCGAGTGCCTCTTCTTCTCCATCACCTCCGAACGCGAAGCCGATTGGAAATCGCCCGGATCTCAAAATACCCAAAATCGTAACACGAAATCACTAAATAGTTTTTTCCACGACAAAAGGGGGAGGGGGCACGCGACGAGCTCCGAGATCCTCGCCTAGCCTAGTACCGAAGTTAACTCCCTAGCAATGGCGGACAACTGCGCGCTACAACAATGCACGCTACCCTGTAGCCCCCTCTGCTCTTACGCAGATCGCGTGCACCTCGAAGTACACTGACGTATCGGTTTTACTTATACCCCGATTTCTATAAATTTTCATTATTTTTCTGTACTGTAGATACTTGTTGAATGGTACGTTCAGATCATATACCTTAAAACATCCTTATTTCGTATTATAATAAGTACTATGAGAAGGTTATATATAGGCGTAATAAAATGTAGAATTTATTTCTCCATGGAACTGGAACTCGTGAAAATTGATCAAAATGTGTTCTTAAAACAATTACGCGGGAATGTTATTCTTTTATATATTGATATCATTGACTGACAATTGCATAATAGTTGACATTACAGTTTATCGTTCTTGTATCATATAGATGAGTATTTGTTCCTAGTTCAGTTTATACATACGGTACTGCACTTCAATAGGATATACGTATAATTGGATGAATCGATATGCGTGCGCATATTGACGGAAATTACATATTAGGCGGGAAAAGGATCAAATATTTACGCACATAAAATATATTAGACATATTTACTGAAAAACAAAGCAAAAAATGTTTATTATATATTTATTATGCCAATCAAACATTTTAATGTCGGATAACGCGAAGCAGATACTGAGTTGTTACTCAACGCTCAAAAAATCGCGACCGCCATCTAGATGGCTTGGCATTAATGAATCAATAGTAGCGCACCCTTTACGAAAGAATTAAGAATTAAGAATATCAACATTAGGGGAAACTTTTGAAATAATTTCAACAAAAAACTTGCAGAAACCTTTAAAAAATGCATTAGTACCTTATTTAATTATTTTTAAATTCCGCGACTTTTCTTTTTATGTTTACCGATGCATTTGCAGATTAAAAAGGATACAAAATATTTTCATGACTGCCCTGAATCCACCTTTTAACTTCATTAATTTTGTAAATATACACGGAATTTGTGTAACAAATAGAAAATTCACTACTCCTTAAAACAACCACTAATAGCAAGCCCATTTAATTACCATTGAGGTATTTTTATTTTTTATTTCTCTTTGTTTATGATATACAAGGTGCATGTTAAATATTTTTCTTACTTGTAATTACAGTTTTCCAAACATATGTATGTCACTACATACATATATGTTATGATAATCGTCTTTTAATTTAAACGATAAATTATTGTTTCTAGATTTTAGTTAGGGAAGAATATTTTTCTGAATGCAACAGTTCAAAACCATACACTGGGAGATTTGTAATGTCACTAGAAGACAATGGTATTATTAAACTGACTATACTCTAAAAGCTGTCGCAGTCAAATTTTCCTTATAAACAAGTTTTCTGTGATTTTTATACGTTAAGAATTACTATTACCTTCTGCAAAAATACAACAATATAGTTCTATTTATGGGTATCATCCATGTACACAGTACACTGCAGTACACAAAGCAAGCGTGGATGAGAAACAGTAATGGATTTCAACAATCTACGAACAGAATAACGGACGAATTTATTGAAACTGTGCAGTAGGGACATATTTTAATCATAACTGTTGATAAAATATTTTACGTATATATATCTGTGACATTCATGAAAAGTGACACTTCGAAATTTTAACAGAATAACGCATAAGAGTGAGTATGCCACTGTCGTTCAAACAAAGCATCATCCGAAACTAATGCCTTTGTTCAAGTTTATATCTGTACGTCTAATTTATATTTAATACCTTAAAACTTAAGCGGTACCATTATTTTGAATTAAGAGTAATGTGGAATATTTTACGAATAAGAACACGGTGAACGAAATTTTCACTTTGAACAATGAAACAAGCGAAGTACAGGGCAGAAGCTTTTATTGTACCTGTGTGTGTTGATACCAATACAAATTCTATTTTAAGTGAAACAAATGTTGGGAGAGTAGAATTGAATGAATTTGTAGACAGATCTATAAATATAGAAGAAAAAGAGACAAATTGTATTAAAAATCATACAGATAATTTGCTGTTTTCTACAGAAGAGGAAAGCCTTCAGAATCTCAAGAATTCCATCATTTTTGAGAAGAATATTATAGCAAATCATGTTGATAGCATTGAAGAAAACCAAAACACATCTGCCAATTTTTATTCTTCTCTTAGTATTCCTAAAATAAAGCATGAGGTATTATACAATGCAAGTTTCTCTTCCAATATATTCAATAAGGTTCAGAGGTTGACACCAATTGATGAAAAACATGAAGATGCTGAAGAAAAACTTACAGATCTATGTTATCATGGATGCAAAAATGGATGTTCTGCAACTGTACCAACACCTCAAGAAGTCAGTGAAGAAGTATTTAAAGAAAATTGGTTACAAAAATTAGAAGACATAAAACGAAAAGAAGCAGAATTAAAAAACAGAGAAATAATTTTACAAAATCGTGAGAAAGCATTGTTTAAGAAGGAAAAAGAAATAAAAACCTTGGAGCATAAATTAAGCGATAAATTGAAGCAGATAGATTTACATCTTAAAGAACATAAATACTTGCAAGGTGTATTAAGAATATGTAATTCTCAAAAAAATAGTTTAGAATCACTAAGTGCTGATTATAAATTATTAAATAATATCATTGCAGAGAAGGTAGACAATGCACATATTAATAACTTTAGCCTGTCTGGTACGCAAATTGTTTCAACACAAGATTCTTCTTATAATCAACTAGAACAATTAAATAAACAGTTGAATAATAACATAGAGACTACATGTAAAGATTTACAAGAAAAAGAGTGCAGTGGGAGTTCTTGTTCTTCTGATCTTAGTACATTTGAAGGAAGAAAATCAAAGCCACAATCTAATTTTAAAAGTTCCATAACTTTAAAAGCTAGATCCAAAATTACTTCCAATAATTCTAATAAATTAAAGAAATGTCCTATGATCTGTTATGAAGACTTAGATACTACATTATCTGCAGACATAGGAGATTCGTCCTTTGTCCAGACTTCACAGAAATTTAATCCAAAATTATATAAAAAACCATATGTATTTACAAGATCGGCTAGTGAACGTCGTGGAAAATATGCAAGTAAGGGAAGCAACTTAAATTTTCAAGTTCAAAACTTGGGCAGTGTTAGAGAAGAATTTGATGCACCTGTTGGAATTGAACAAGGCAAGGTATTAGACAGAGTTACTAAAAACATATCTGCTTCACAAGATAAAAATACAAAATTTCAAAACTATGGCCTCATAGACCATAATACAGGCAAACCAAGTAAGGTACCTACAATGGAAAATGAGAAAAAGTATTCATATCTTGATTTAGAAACAGGAAGTAGATTATATTCCCATCAAAGACTGATTAAAAACACAAAGGATAGACCAATGTCTTGGAATGAGGAAACAAATGAGTGGTTACAGAAGAAACGAAAGGCTTACAACATGACAGCCAAAAAAGTATTAGAAAACACAGAAAATAAAGAGAACCATAAATGTGGTACCAAAACTGATAAGACTGAAAAAGTGATAAAGAGAAGTGATTTAAAAAATAAAATACTTACTATATTTCGTTGATGTAACACTAATATGGAAACTGGAAAGTGAAATTCAAATATTGTAATTGTACACAATCACATAGCTATGTGTTAAATATAATGCATGGTTATATTGACATCTCCCGTAATGTATTTGTGCAAATAAAATTGTATTTTCTTAATAAATTCATAATGTAAATAATAATAATGTTTATCATTATAATTAGATGTTTATTCGATTATGTAAATTACACATGTATATAATAACTTGGTATTGACTAATGAACTGGTGTACACAGATGTAAAACTAATACATTGTAATTACATTATGGCCAAGATGGTGGTTCTCCTGGTTTCAATTCTCTGCCAAACAGAGCAGACTTATCCCGAAATCTAGTCATTCTTAGTGTTTCTAATCTATCTATCCACCATCCAAGTGCAGCAGCTGGTCCCAGGATAAGGACAGCAATAGCATATTTTCTTAGAAATCGTGGTTTTTCTTGAATTGCCATTTTAACTGAGTAAGTCTAGCTTTTGTCCTTCAGCTACTTTCTTCTTCCACTCTCGGGTATGACTCCAATCAGCATAAATAAGACTTACAGACACAGTAGGGAAGAAAAGGATTGGCCAATAACGTCTAATCCAACGTGCGAGTTTTAGACCATCCATTAACTGAAACACAAAACTGACATTGTAAATCTCACTTTACATTCAAAGAGCCTCGTGAAACTGGCTTTCGCATAATAAGTATACTTCAATTACATCTAATCAATAAGAAACTACAAAAATTAATAGATGGTATTACTATTGAACATTCGTCGTGTTGCATATCTATCCCATAAAAACAAATTAAATATTCTCTATAAAGAATTACCAAGAATGAATGTAACGGTTATGAATTCTGAATAAAGCGATATAGAATTATCTTGCGTCTATATGCATTTGAGGAAGCACGCAATACACCGAGCAAGACAATAAAATGAAACACTATATGAATAACATTAAACAAACTTACCGTTATTACACCAATATTTTTACGAAAGAAGCAAACTCGATATGCGTACCGGACGCCAGGACATGACGTAACTGTGAAGATTGCGATATACTCAAGCAAGCCTTACCCGCCTTACCACACACGCAGCAATAATGGGAGCGTATAGTTTGAAAATGGTATGACAAAGCTACTTTGACTTAAGAGTATTCATTTTTAATGTATATCCGTTAACCCTTTGACTGCGGAATGCGTATATATACGCCCTCATGTATTTATCATTATATATTATTTATTACATTTATTTCTTGTTTAAAGTAATTCAAAATTTTTTAAAATTGCAACTAGACCGGCAACATTAACTGTCAATTGTTAATGTTTGACAACTCTTAATCTTTATGTTGTACTTTGAAAAAGTAAAAAAAAATCGCATTCCTTACTTCGAATTCATTTTTATTGAATGAACATTATCGTTTATAGTTACCTAATCTATAAGATATAACATCCTATTTACGTTCAAATGTTATATTTAAACACAACAAACATCTCATGAAATAGTAGTGCCTAAAGTTTATTTCAGGGATATCACAAATTCTCCTTTTTAATCACAATTAAACATTTCATTAAATTTAAACAGCAATTAAGTAACTAGTTCAAAATAAAGATTACAATGAATTATACAGTATATACTTGGAAAAATTTTATCTTGGAAACATACGAAAAAGAACGAAAATTAAGTATCATGCTTATTTCATTTTTTTCGTGTATTGGAACACCATGTAATACTTTTATAACGTGAGAAGTGTGAAATAGTAATGTTGAATAAAGATATTAAAGTAGTAATAATAATAGTTTTCTGAATTTTGAACACTGCTTGTATTTATTACTTATGTACAATACTTCATGTATGGTACTATAAACACATTCCTCTAGCAAAAAATCTTAAAGCAAACGAAATTCTTCGAATAGTTAGAGAATTTAATTCAAAAACCAAAAACCTCCCCTCCAAAAAACTATACACATATTAACCAAAGCATACACCACATTAAGTTTGGAACCCTGCAATGTAATACTATATCTTTTGGAAGATCATTTTGAAAGACTATCAATGTTATCTATGCTTATAGAATTTTCTTACTGGAATGCAGATCAAAATTAAACTCACTGAAATACATCGATTACATTACATGTGTATACATTGGCTGAATATTATCATCAACGTAATAAAAATACATAATTTTCCTTTCTTGTTTTCATCGCATCGTTGCACGAGCATACGTTTAATGAAACAATAGGCACTGCACATAAGTACCTTTGCCTTATCGAACGAAGAAGCAAAAGCACCAGTTCTTTGTGAAATATCATTGTTTACGGTGATTTTTCTTTAAAGAACCTCGTATCGATATCATTTAAAACATTATAATATATGTATGTATGTATGTATATATATATATATATATGTATGTATATGTATATATATATATATATATATATATATATATATATATATATATATATATATAAGGGTATGTAATACTTCTGTGAAACCAGGTATCGAGTGATCAAGTAAAAACTCGATCAATCTCGGTGTCTATCGACTCTGTCTCTGTACAAATTGTACTTTTTCTATTTCATAATGCAAACTGATAAACACGCAACGGAAGAAAATTTGTAGTTGGTAGATTTTTCATATTGTTTATGGACAAATAATAATTTTAAAAAACTCTTAATAACAATGTCCATCGAAAATGCCTGGAAAATTGTATTTCACGTAGATGTACCTACAGTCGAAACGTTGGCGTTCTGAGAACATACGCATATACATCAAGTAATACACTAAACATAGTTGAGCGTTGTTGAATTTTTTTTACTTTTCATTCCGCATTTATACCCTGCTGTAGGTTATAGTTACTCAGGCGCCAACGCAATGAAGCATAATTAATGTGATCATCTAATGAAAATATAGAGACGCAATATATACTCTGATCATTCGTACAAATTTATACTGATATGATTTTCTTTGTTCTATTGCAATGCCGTACTTAAGAAATAGCGTTTCATTTGGCATCCTTTGGTGGCGATAATGTTTCCGTTGTTGTGTTGTTTGAACTACACGAAACTGTGTGATCATTCGACGATTTGTCATTTTGTACCGCAGTGGATACAAACTCTGTATGCATTATGTTTTCTTCGTCCGTGGTTTTTCTGAAACATATCATTTTTTGAGATACTAATTCCCCGATAATACCATAAGTGTATGAGATTTAATTACCTGCAATCCAAAATTTCACTTGGATTCGCATTTCTATCAGCAATACTAACTGAATCCGGGCTCTTTTCAGTATTCTTCTGAGTCACATTTGTTTCTGTGTGCGATGTATTACTATCAGCAGTATCTTCAACTTTCGTATCACCAGCCCCAATGGCTTCTGGTGTCGGTTTCCTTTCTGTTGTAGTTTCTACTTTACTTAGATCTGTTGTCAAGTCCTGTTCTTCTTCTTCAATTTCATCGCATAGTTTAGTATCAAAATTTGCCCAACCGGTAGATTCAACTGTTGTGTCTGATGGTGCAACCTCCCATGGATTTACCTCGGGAAGCGTATTACCAGTGGATAATGGTTCGGTTGAATCCCACGCTAACGTAACAAATATTAATAAATCAAAAAAACATTTAAATCGAACGAAAATAATTTATCATCGAGACACAAACCTTCGTCATCTTCATCCAACGAATTGGAATCATTATGTTGTTGTTTCGTGGGCCAGTCTTGTTTATCGACCACTGTTTGAAAAGTAAGTTCGCCTTCGTCACCCCATTCTGCTCCTGCACTGCAGTCTTCTAAACCAACCTTTTGCTTCTCCTGGCATATCTACGAATAATTATTTATTTTTAACAAACTTAAAATAATTAAATTATACAATCTTTTTTAGCATTACCTGTACCTTATTGAACATATCTTCCCTTTCTTCGTAATCCTCACTGACAGTAAAGGCCAACGTTGTTACCTGGTCAACCTTGTTACTATAATGGTATTTTTGTAAAAAAAAAAACGAAAGTGTTGGAAATACGAGATAATACTTTACACTCTTCTGTTGCGCTCGTTATTCTTTTAACTTTTTACGGGATGAAGTTATAACATGTTCTTTATGATTATGCAAGGTATGTAATATGTGTAAATAATTGAGTATTAATGATAAAATCTATATAAATACGTGCATTAAAGATTAATTTAAGCTCCTTACTGAATATCGTTCTCATTGTCATTGAATTCACCGTCATTGTAGCCGAAGTTCTCGATAAATTGCGCTGTCGACGGATGTAGCCCCACATAATTGACGTAAAACTATTTGTGTTGTGCAACATTATATGAAATAACAAGTTATTACAATTTGCCGATAGAATTTGAACGTTTTCTACGAATAGGTAATATAGTACTAACTTGTTCAACTTTTACAGGAAAAGAACTGCATTCATCTGGGTTTTCACTGGAATTATTCATATACGACTCGGGTATCCCACCCTAAACATTTATGTTACAAGTTTAATTAAAGTAAAATTCATTTACAGAAAATTCTAACTTACCAAAAGAATTTGATGAGTCTCATTAATTTTCGCTAAATCTGTATTCACAAGGTTCTTCCATTCATTAAGACACTTAGGTGATAAATTCGCGTTTAAAAATTGATCTAAGTTTTTGCTCTTCTGACGTTGGCTAACAATATTATTTGCAATATTTATTAAATGACCCATATATCCCTGTCTAACTCCATTCTCCAAATTTCTGAAATGAAATAACAACATGTTTAACAAATAGTTTCATACTATCACAGATTGTAAATATATAAAATATTTTTCAAAAATTACTGTTTAACATACTGTTTATTATCATTTTTATCCCATGCTTCTAAAATTTGATCTATTAATCTGCACTCGATAAATATCTGAAAATTTGTTTTATAAAATAAATTAACGTTCCTTCGTTCTGTATTTTTCTATCAACAATAATACTTACATTAGCATAAATAATGTCATTTGTATCCGTAAAATCACAATTAATAGCTAAAGCCAGGCACGATTGTACTTGAGTATGTAGGAAATTGTTCCACGTATACTTAAAAAATAAATCCTGAAGAAACATGAAATCCATTGTTAGTGTAGTTTTAAATGTTATATTTCGATATTATGTATTACATTCATACATTCGACTTACCAGTAGTGTTTGGAATGTTCCTAGTTCTACTAAGGTTTCAAAAATTTTTACATTTTCCACTGTCAACAGCGCAGTGAACAACTTTGCAACATGTACACGTGTATTGCCTAATGGACATTCTAACACTCCTGCAGTTGTTTTAACAGGAGGTTTCTATAATACCAAAATATATTTTAAAGAATACATAGAATAAAGAATATCCACATCATACTTATACACTTACATAAGGTGGTTCTAATAAGAGCTTGTGAAGTTGTTCTAAATAAGGCAGAATTGCATTCGAAATTTTTATGCGCTGTTCATTATCCGTGATCTCATCTCCAATACCATTACCATGAACATCTCCCTCATTTATTGCACTAATGTACAAATATTATATTTTATTAACATATTTTGTGTCCCTTAGGATGTTAAAATATTTTACCAACAATATCCATTCTTACTTGTTAGCCTTCTGGCCTAGAAGTGTAAGAAGTACCTGAATCCCTCCTACAATACTACTCTCTAATTTCTCTCCAGATAAGATAGTTTCTAACAACAGACTCACTGTATCTGCCCTGTAAAAAAGATATTACTTACTTTAAACAAGCAAAGTATAACTTTTATTGCATATCTTGAAAATAACAATCTTATAATTAATCCTAATTTTGTTTCCCTGTAATTTCTTGTACTTACGATTCAAGTGTATTTAAAATAGGATCTGGATCAGTCTGTTTTGTAGGTGCTCGTTGATTCTCTCTTGTATCACTTATCATATCACAAAGTAATTGTGCGGCATTTGCATGTTTACTTGACTCAGAATTGGGAGACAATAATTTTACCAACCTTTGCACTAATTGTTGACTATCTAACCACTGTTAAAGCAAACATATCAAATCTCATAAAATACAGTAAACAGCTATATTAGTATAAGCAAAATTTGGGCTTGTTGTACAACCAGATATTGCCAGTTCTATGATAACATACTCTAAAAATCTAACAAATGAAATTCCTCACATTTAATATATTTTGCCGCATATCGTTGCCTTCAACTCGAATGACCAGTTTCAGTACTAAATCCATAATCGCAAATGTTTCTAAGTGTTGCAAAAGTAGATCGACGCATGTTTGACGACTTTTTAAAAACTCCAAAACCTGTAAACAAGTGAACTGATACGAATACCAGTTCTGATGGAAAAAATGAAAATATAAGTTTTGTATAATCAAACTGTGAATGTGAAATATTATTTGTAATTAAGTTTAGCTCTAATTTATAATCACCTGATCTGTTTTGCGAGCAATGAGTACTCCAATAGTTTTACTAAAAAACGATGCCAACAGAGGATTCAATGGTTGATCAGTCTCAATGAAAGAATAAAGTTTCGACAAAAGTACTTGATCACCTGAAATGTAATGTAGATTAATTTCTTCCTCCAAATATATTTTCACATGTATTATCTATACTTTGAAGATTAATACAATTCCTTTGAATGAAATAATACATCCAGTTGATTAATTCATACCTGCTAATTTCTCATTTAATGTTGGTATATCACAAGTCAATAGTTCGCAAGCTAAGCTTGGATATTTATAACGAGAACGTTCCTCTATATCCGTTGATGGTTCTTTGGTCGTAAGAGTTATCAATTCTTCCAGTATATCAAATCTACTTAGACTAGAAATATTACATTTTAGAATTATCCAGTGTTAGAAAACAATTAACTTTATAATTTACTTACTATTCCACAAGTTTTTTGTTTTGGCTTTTACATTCCACCAATATATCATCTTCATCCATCACTTCATATAATGTAACATCCTAAAATTATAAATGCAATTACATTTATTTCTTGTAACTTCAACAAATTTAGTAATAATCATAACAATTTAAACTTTGTCAAGTATAAATAACACACAATATCACAATAGGATGATAATTAAAATCTTATATCATTCAAGAAACATAGCATGGTTTTTCTAATAATATCTCTTACTGTGCTTTCTAAATACATATCACTGTCTGATTAACTTTTTACTATTTTGAAATTCTGCCAAACAATACAAAATTATATTTAGGAAAACTTCACCCAGGTAGAAAAGTGATATTGTGCAAAGGTCAGGAATGGAGCATATAAAAAATGTATACAATTCCGATCTCGTGAAATGATATTATCAGGAAGTAAAAGGTACAAGGTAAAAGGTTAATCTTGAATTGAGTTCTTGGAGTTATTAAAATTTGCAAAGTGCCAACCAGCAGAACAAAATCTTTATCCGCGGAAGAATTATTTTTTTACCTTCTTATCAAGAAGTGCCTCCATATTAGGCGATGACACGTAATTCTTCGCCCAAAACATGTTGAAGCCGTGTGTTTCGCCTTTGCTCAACTACAGTACAATTAATCGAATGCGAAAATAATCACAACATTGAAGTGGTGGCCACTAAAAAAATAACGTAATGCTTCGCGAGAAGGAGAGCCAACTAACATTGCATGGACACGTATTAGAACGATGACGATGTTGTGTATAATTGCAGCGACAATCGTTATCGCTGCAAGAGTTTCACCAACAAACAAAACTATTTTTTTTTTGTTTAGAATAAGAGTGGTTTCAAAATGTCACCTTTTCTCCTAAAAGCAGAAACTGGACGATTGTTTTAACTTTGACGTTTGCTGCAGAAGCAATGCTCCGCGATCGACTTTCGACCAGGCAAATGCATCTTATTTCAGATTATTCAGTAACGCGATTGGATGGATTTAAATATTGTTTACATGCTCAACAAATAAGTACCTACAGCTCCCGTTTGTTTAAAATGTTTAATATGTCATTGAATAAAAACTGTCAACATATACTTATGTATATTATTCCTATAATACTTGACGATAAATTAGAGTAATCATGGATCAGAATAAGTCTAAAAGGATCTATAAAGGACATATACTTTTGTATTCACTTTTTCCTAGATTATATTTTTCTCAAATGTTAGAAAGTAATGTTATCTGCAAAAGATTTTTTCATGAAGTGTTAAAAATAATACATTAAAAAGATTAACTTTTACTGCTCTGATTATTTGAATTTACGAAGAAAGTAAACATAGAACTGCATCGAAAAGTATGGAGTACAGATAGTTGAAATAGCTTTTGACTCCACTTCTTCATCGACCTGGTAATCATCAACCGAAGTGAGAGTACTCTCTTATGTCATGATATTCTATGGTGGAGAGTAGTGGTAACCGGGGTCATAGAACCCCCGGACCATGCGTGCGAGACCCCGTGTGGTGTGAAGTGGGGTCATAGAACCCCCGGAGCATGTGTAAGAGGCCCCGTGTGTGAGAAAGTGGGGTCATAGAACCCGCGGAGCATGCGTAAGAGCCCCCGTATTATATTTATACTCACGTGTCGGTATGATTTGGCTAGCAGTTTCAGCGAATTGCCATGGATGGCGCCACCGGTCGAACAAATATAGTACTGTCGGGAGCATGAGGTAACTCCCTAGAGAAACCAGTAGGTGGCGGGGTTGGCAGCAGTATGGCCAACCACTGACCGCGAACGCCGAGATGCCATCACCAGTCTCTTTAGTACCAGCGTAACGTACGCACCCAAAGAAGGTCGGTAACGCAACCACATGTCGGAAGTGATTTTCTTCCTCGATCCCGCGGTTAGGGTAATACCTACAATTGGTGACCCCGAGAAGAACATACGCAGCAGACGAAGGAGACCAACCGACAACCAGGAGCAGCCTACAACTCAAGAGACGCGCCTACCAGAGGGATGGATGGATGGACATCGCTTTACAATTACCGAGACTACGTAATGCCCCTCGTAGGGTGGCCATCAACTAGCGATCTGTGTTACAGTGATACGCCTACGACAGTCGGACGCACGGACATCAACCGCAGTTTGACGGGGAAAAAACGCACGGAGGAGCGCGTAGCGCCACGATTCTCACCCTCCCAATGGCCACTCTAGGACAGCAGTACATAGATCCTTCAAGGAAGTCTTAGCCGGCAAAAACATTTCAATTCTGTCTGTGAGATAAACAAAGTAAAGCGTGCATATGTACTTGGATACGTCTGATACACCTCTGTAAAGTTAGCCGGACAACTTTAGCTTTTTAACGTTTCATTATACCCAATCGATTGGTGGTCTTTGATGGCCTAATTAGAACATTTGGTGGTCACGCGTTCTTTTGTAATTAAGTCTAATGAAATTTGTAATTAACCAACCGAAAGATTCTACTAACCACCGGCCTTCCACTAATTGAAAGATTCTACTAACCACCAGCCTTCCGACAATCGAAAGATTCTACTAACCACCGGCCTTCCGCCGATCGAAAGATTCTACTAACCACCGGCCTTCCACCAATCGAAAGATTCTACTAACCACCGGCCTTCCACCAATCGAAAGATTCTACTAACCACCAGCCTTCCGACAATCGAAAGATTCTACTAACCACCGGCCTTTCCGCCAATCGAAAGATTCTACTAACCACCGGCCTTCCGACAATCGAAAGATTCTACTAACCACCGGTCTTTCCGCCAATCGAAAGATTCTACTAACCACCGGCCTTCCACCTATCGAAAGATTCTACTAACCACCGGTTTTCCTTTACTACCGGTGGTTAGTAGAATCTTTCGATAGGTGGAAGGCCGGTGGTTAGTAGAATCTTTCGATTGGCGGAAAGACCGGTGGTTAGTAGAATCTTTCGATTGTCGGAAGGCCGGTGGTTAGTAGAATCTTTCGATTGGCGGAAAGGCCGGTGGTTAGTAGAATCTTTCACTTAGTGGAAGCCCGGTGGTTAGTAGAATCTTTCGATCGGCGGAAGGCCGGTGGTTAGTAGAATCTTTCGATTGGCGGAAGGCCGGTGGTTAGTAGAATCTTTCGATTGGTGGAAGCCCGGTGGTTAACGAGGGTTAGTGGAAGGTTAGTTGAATAAAATGTTTCAATACTAAATGATTTTGACGAATGAACTTATTTACCACCATATATATATAGTCTCAAATTCAGCTGTGATATAATTGTTTTCTTTTTACATGTTTCTTACGAAATGGAAATATTTATTATATTTAAATTAATACATAGAAGGTCGTAGATACAGTACACAGATCATTATGAATACGTAACAATTATCGAGTGAAATAATATACAACGAAATTTACAAATTGTCTGTTGTAAAGTACAGTTCTTTATACAATTCTCAGACTGAATTAATTACTTTACTAATACATATGTTCCATGTTAAATGTTCCTTTTTCACATGAATTCTTTTTCTGCTCTGTTACACTTCGGCGTTATCTTTCCTTGGCTCTCGACTACACTGAAAACCTCTATTTTGATTACTTTTTCGTAAAAATGTTTCAGTTTAATAGTGCTTTGATTAAATAATTGAAGTGTTTCATAAGGTGCCAGTGTCTCTATTTGCGTTCTAAATAATGGCAACTCGATGTATTAGTAATGGTATTTAATTCACCTGATCTAAATAGAATATAAATTATATTACATCAACCGACAAACAATTTTTCAAGGAAACATGACACGGAGGACGTTAACGAGTCAACGAAGCAATTCGTCTAAACTAACTTTACACAACTCCTAACGATTCATGGACCAGTTTCTTTCATTTTTTTTTACATCTAAATTCGTTACTGCTACTGCAGTGAATGCGGAAGCAAGGAAACTCTTGGACGCTTCACAAATAAATATTAACACTTTGACTGTCATATCAACCGTGCGTCATGGCCGACGCATTTTTAGTCTGAAGGTAACAATAGGTTAAACCGTTTGAAGAATGGCAGGAAAATTAAGAGCATGGCGGAAGGTTCACTTGTACAGTTTATTATGTTAAGAAAAGGGACTGTATGGAAGTTTTATGTGGACTAGTCTAGCAGTCAAAGTGTTAACACAGACAAAAAAAGGGGAGACAAATATATCTGTACAAAGTTAATCGAAGGACGGGTTAATGGCCACGAAACAATTGTCCGTTAACGGTCACAAATAGAACAGAGCGTTTCCTCGAAACCTATTGGATACAAATTACCGCGGGACTGTTGTTCGACGCTACCATAAATACAGCATGATATTAAAAAACTTATGCCCTATTTTATTCTTTGCCCTATAATTAATTCTGCGTTTCGTTATTGTAATGTATCGTAATAAGGCGTTTTCGATGTCCGACATTTCCTTGTACGTACATAGCAAAATGAACGTGAAACCTTTGAAACTTTCGTTACCTCGCACACATACAAGACGGATCCGATGTTACGACTAGCTTGAACAAGACCTCAAAGGCACCCGCATCTTCTTATTCCCTTTCTTCTTGTTTTCTCCATTTATTTATGCATCGATATACAAATGGGTAACAAAAGTATTTGCACTCCTACTTTTGTTACAGTCGATGTATTGAAATGGATAAAAAGAAAATTGGCGAAAAATCCCGTGTTTGAGAGCTTGACGCTATTCAGTGAGTAATATGCGATCATAAAAATGTTTATAATAATCTGAATATGTGACAAATTATTCTAAGCAAATTCGTGCAAATACTTTTTGTAGCCACTGTACAGTCAGGGATAAAAGTGATCGTGACATTGTACTAATAAAATAGAAACTTTAATAGAGATCGGTAAAGTTTCGATTTTATTGTAACCTTACTGTAACCTCTTCGCAGAGGAGACTGCAACATTCTTCGGGTACGAGTATTTCTATCCTTCACTGTACAATGCCTCTCAACGTTTCATGTTGTTACTAAGGCTGGTGAACATGTAAAATTCAGTTAGTTCCCATAATTACTCCCCTATTACGTTTCATTTGTATTATTAAACAGAGTCTGTATTATCAGTGATAAATTAATTCACATTTGATTGGTGTTATAGTTTAACCATTCTTCAAATCTGAATTAATTTATATGTTATTGTATAGTTCTCTTTAATAATACTATAATGTTCAAATGCACAAGGGTACAAGAAGACAACTAGAAGTTACACAGTACAATCTAACATTTACATGACCACCGCCTTTAGTGATTCCTACAATATAGATTTGGAGCTAGTAGGGACATTATCACACTAACACGAATGATTGAGAGTCATTGTACGAGAAACGACTGTAACTTAAGCTCTCTAGGATTCACAGTAACTGTGAAACTGGAAGGTATCTCTACGTTTAGAAGGTTTCTATTTCCAAGATGGACCTGTAGGTTTCTCTTATAATACAAACAAGGAAATTATAGGGAGTATAATGATACGCTAGATCGTACAATGAAACATTGAAAAAATTCTGGTGCATCGTCGATTAATCTGAGACACATGATTCTTGATAAAAACGGTTTTAAGGATATCATTGTGACTAGTAATAATGAATATACTTTGAAATATAAAAAGGCTACTGTTATTCAAAGAGACCATTATCAAATTGAATTCCAAAAACCGTCTCAAAAAGTCTGTTGTTATATCATACCTAATTTTTTTTCGAACGTTATCAACGAATGAAGATGAAAGTAACTTGGAGATATATTCGTGCAAGTTCATTTGACTGAAGTAGCATTGTCGAGTCACGCACACTGTTGATAAAAGTATGGGGCATGATTTACCGGATAATGGAAATGGAAAACACTATCTAAACTGAAGATTTTATGAATTATTAAATAGTATAACATTATAAGTTATATAGAAATTGAACAGTAAAGAGTTGAATATAGTTTGAGAAGAAGTAATGACTGAAGTGATCCCATACTTTTGGCCAGTAGTTATTTAAATTCTCGGTATTCGATGCATGAACAAATCTGCTGGAACATTCTTATGGTCATAGTGAATGTAAATAGTGTTCCAGGGATGCAGGTTGTTATAATTGGATCTCATCAAGTTACTATTTTTTTTTAACTTTCCTGTACTATTGTAACTAATTATATTGCAATATGTATAATATATATATATAATGCTCGAAGCTACATGCCTCGAGCCGTAATATGTATATGACATATATGTGTACATTTATATATACAGAGACACACATATATGTATACACATAGATGAATATTCAAACGAAAAGAAAACGATATCGTTCTAGCCTACAGTCGCATAATTAGCTAATCATGCCATACTTACAAACTGTACGATAATGTACAGTTCAAGATAAGTTCTGGCATATTAAGGAAACATATTACCTAGTCTTATCTATACACGCTTCATTCTCGTTTTCAAATAAATACACGACTATCACATTAATACACGCGTCTTACCGATTTGTTTATCTGCTTGCAACACTGACAAGTGGCATCACTTAAAGAGACATAGGTATTTTTTATGAAACTTGTACAGGATACAGTTCTTGAAAAACTATTAAACTCATTTCTTTGTTGGAAATTGTTTCAACTCTGGGGATGAAAACAGCCCTTTAAGTTTGATATGAAAAATATACTGCCTTTACCGTTTCTGAAAGTACACCAAGTAAAAAAAAATGTTTCAGACGAATGTTGTATATTCTTTAATGACAGATTTAATTACCTAGGCAACTTTTTGGAATGTCAATTTACTAGAATGAAGTTATAGTTAACGTTGAGGGCGTTTTTCACTCCTTAAATACGGATGAATGCAAGAAAGTGTGTAAAATATTTTTCATAAGCTACTTTTTACAAAAAGTACTCATCGAAACTGATAGTCGCTGTTCTTTGTTTAATCTCTCTATTCCTTTTTCAAACATCGCGAAATAATACAAAATCATTATTTCACGTCTCCGACAATTTGCTAAAGCTGCCCAGGAAACTCAGAAAGATTCCCATCTCCTCGTTTCGTTATCACTTCTCTGTCTTTTCTCTCGGTAAGTTACACGCATTATACTTGTCTAAGGACTTTTAGTTTCACCATTACGGTAGAACGACGTTACGAGAACATCTCTACGAAAACAAGATCGCCGTCGCTCCTATCATCCGGTCTGTACCCGACCAGTATTCTCGATGACTGATGAAGTATAGCCGATGGTTATGACATAGTCTTGTCGCAAAGTGGACCCTTAACGAACGAATTCTACTAATATCGTTGCATCATTCTGTGTTATAGCCTAAAAATATGTTACCGACAACTATCAACAATTCTTTTATTAACAGGAAAACTACGCAAATTTTAATTGGCATTCATTACATTAGAGTTTTTTCCTGTTGTTGTAAATAGTCATTGATAGTGAATTGAAACAAAATTTAGACAGTTCGTACGACCCTAGGTGAGGTCCAAAACCCTTCACACTCACCATATTTGTGGCAATTTGTCTTTCTCAGCAGTCAAAACATAAGTGTACTTGAATACAGTGAGGTAGTAAACTTAGTGGCACCATAAACAGAGGCTCTTTTTTGTAGATCTAACTAGGGCTATCTTCGGCATTGCAAAGATTTTCAGAACTAGTCCAAAAGGAAAACTAACATGAAATGGATATTTGCGTAGCCACTGATGGAAGATGTCAGGTTCTCTACTGTCATTATACCGTTTGTTGTCCCCTCTCTCTGTATCAAAAAATTTCTCCTTATGGTCTACCTGGCTGTACTACCTCTCTCTATCTGTTACTCCTATCTATACTTCAGCATTCGGTCTACTTTACGACTACGTTGTATCTCTTCCAGCAGTTATACGGACCCTGTCCTCAAACCTTTACAATAACTTAAAGCGTTCCTCGTCTGTTCTGGGGGGAAACACCGTTCGAGTCTAGCTTCGAGTTTCGTTTTAATAATACACGTGTGTCTAGGCCCCTAAAGCGCAGCTCTTCCCTATACAAAACGCGACGGCGTACGACTCTCAGTCAATGGCATCGTTTTTCTATTTCTTTCTCTCCTATATCGTCTTCCGACTCGCGTACGATCGACGCCGCGCGCTGACACGATGATCCATCACAGGCAACCGTGAAAGTCCACCTATCCTGCGAGATTCTTGGCGCGCGTGCGCGCCCTCTCCCGATGGACCTCCGTCCAGCGTTCGTTTGATTGTACTTCACGATCCTGAACCGTCGCGACGCAGGCTCGTGAATAGACAGTCTTGTGTCTCGCCAAAGCTTCTCGCGAAGCTGTGTCCCCGGCGATGTTTAGCTCTTCGAGTGCACATTCGTCTTTTGTGCCTTCTTCTTTCTGGCCGCCAGCATATCGTAGAATGGATTGTGCGATATGCTTTGCCTGGAAAATGAAACCAAAACGTATGAAAAAAACGAACGGACCGTGAATGGTGTCGCGATTAGACAACGGATGTTTATGCACTCGGAGTAATATACTTGGCTGTCCCGAAGTTATTAAGAAGTTGAACCACTTCGAACGTGTTCTCTTTTATTCAAAGCAGAGCACGTTGAGTTTTGAAAATTTATTTGAAGTTCTCCTCCAGACAAAGGCAGAGATAATCGCATCGGTGGCTCCGCAAGAATCGCACCCACGCATCTATGTATACGGGCTCGGTTTTTATTAAACGGCTCACGGCACCGTGAAAACGCGGCTAAAGAAACGAGCCACACGGCCTCGAATTATGGTACTTCTCCCCCTTAATTATTCGCGGGTCGGACAAACGCAACTTACCGCACGCACTTGATCCATTCTTCTTTCTCCTCGTCCGTGGCCGCGGACATTCTGTACACGGTGTGCTTACCTGCAACAAACGGGGAAATAACGGTTACGTGCGATCCTGCTGTAATTACCAGTGGCGGCAAGGCGACGCGTCGCGAAGGGAAGACAGCCTTCGCGTTAAACGGCAAACGCGGGGGCAAGGCATCACCACGCACGTGATTCGATCGCGACGTGAGAAAAAGGAACTTTGTTCGAGACACGCAACCTGAATTCTTTCTTCCGTTACATTTCGTCGGGCCTCTGGGTTCGTTCGCTTCGGCTTCCAAGAGCGCAATCGCTAATTACGGTGGGGAGCGTCGCTTAATACGTGGGAACGACAGGGAAAGAAAGATGAATTTGGAACATGAGAACGGAAAACATAAGCGACTTAAACGCATTCCCGAAAGCTTCTAGGAATTTTTCGATGATTGGTCTAGTTGAGATATTATAATAATTTTTAGATATTCTGTTACTTGGTACATATAACATCGTGACTATAATACTGTACTGCTGTTATAGTATGATCAGTACGCTGAGTGTAGTTATAATAATCTCCTATATTCGGTGTAGTGAAGTTTTAAAGTCGGTATGGTCATTGTAACGAGTCGTAATCATTTTTTATAGTCAGTACTTACTAATATAGTTAACGTACACGACTCGAGCACTTCTAACCAATTCCTAACAAAGTTACCGGTACCGTGCAATAATATTCCAACTGCCACCACCGGCAATTGTTACAACTAATGTACGGAACCAGGATGTCCCACGATTGGAGGTTGAGTACAGCAACTCTATTAACTGTATGAGCTTCTAATAACTTTCCCAGAGCAGTTTACCAAAGCCGTACCAACGGAGAGTTTAATTATCCTTGAAGCATCCCCGAGTCCACAAGTTTCAGGCGGCGTATACAAGGTGTTAATTTTAACTCGAGCATCTAAACATTACCGCTACTATTGAAAGTAAGAAAAAATGACTAAACAGATTGTACATGGTTTTAAAACGTACATCCGATGGTTACAAAAAAAATCCTGTGATGGTCATTTTAACGGGCTTTTCAAGGTCATCGTATTTCTTTTCATATCAACATGTATTTTTTATGACCTTGAAGTGACCTTGAAGGCGAAGAAATCAGCTGTAATTTGAAGAATGCAGAAGTAAATAAACGTAATAAGTAAAAAAAAAATTGTATCACCATCAGATACACGGCTTAAAACCATGTACATTCTATTTAGTAATTCTTTTCAGTAGCGGAAATAATTTAGGTTAAAATTAACACTCTGTATGTGTGTGTGGACGCGCGCGCTCGATCGAACTGGCCGAAAACGGAAACGATCGGAAGCGTGGATAGCAAAAGGAGGGTCTTTCACATTTGCGGATCACGGTAGCACGTATTAATTTCCCGTCGGCCCGTCAGTATATATATATATACCTTCGACAACTTTTCCCTCGCTGTCTGTTTTGCACGCCTTGATGAACTCGGAGCCGGCGGCGTACAGCTCGAAGCAGTGCGGCTTGTGTCGATCCTGCACCTCTCTGACCTGAATGTTCTCCAACGGAATGATGCCTCGTGGCTCCTTGTCCGTCGTGTACTCGAAGTAGTAGAGACAGTTGTCGTTCAATATGAACCATCGTCTCTTCCAGCTCTTGTAACGTCCGCCTGGAACAGGGAACGGGCCACGTTGTAGCTGGGCAGGGGGCAAAGGAGGATCGGAGATGCCACGGATCGCAGCATGCGTTATTTACCTGCTGTCTCCGTCAGGGCAGCAGAGGGACAAAGCGATACGATATAAGAAACAGTTCGTCAAAGACTGAACACACACGATTCGTCGTCTCTCGACACCGTCAAGGTTTTCTGTGTACAGCGGACACTTGATATATTGCACTTTGCTATATTGCCGCGCGAGTTATTTCCTGTGCACACGTACATTCACGAATACAAATTTGTTCTCCCACCATTATATTGCTGGAGTCGGGACTGTGTTGATCGTTTTTGAGAATTTTACTCTCCTACTGTCCCTAGCTGCGGTAATGTATCAAGAGTCCACTGTACATGTATATTTCGCGGGGGGAACAACGATTCCGAAACGGTCACGACTCGACTCCCTTCTAGGATTGCTAGAGATGACTTTATGTCTAACTAATGACAACGACATATTTGAATTGTATCGATATTTGGTATTGATGGGTTAATTATCGATACTGAAATAAATCGTCACGTTAAATATCGATACAAAATATCGATATTTGTATTGAAAAGTATCGATACTGTATCGCCCAACATAATACGTACGTCGATGACAAAAAAAAGTCATCCCCGACAACCCTGCTCTCCTCTCTCCCATCGAGAGAGAGACCATACTATCCAGCGTTCGCGTGAATATCGCCGGTAATTCAGCCTCGGGGGCGACACGGAATACCTGAACGTCCTATCTCGAGCCCCACTGGGAGTATCTTCGGAATGCCATCGAATAACGCTGAAAATATTCGAGCCATCCCGAGGCCTTCCATCGTCAGCCGAGAGTTTCGGAAACGCTGTACCGGGATATGTTCTGACTCACGTCTTCAACCCTCCATAGCACCGACGTACCAGCGTCGATTCGATTGGGTGCGAACGATGGTCCCGTTTTATTCGTCGACGGATTATTCCGTCCGGTGAGATCGATCCACCGGCGACAGGATCACGGTCTATCTCGTCCGATCTCGTCCGATACTTCTAGCCGTGCCCGCATCGTATCGATGAAACGATTCGGATCGTTTTACACGCTCAGTGGGTGGCAACTCGATCAGATGGATCACACGAGAAGTGTCGAGGGGGGAACAGGCGGTGTCCGATAATAAGAGGATTAGTAATTACGAAAATGACGTGAACAAGAAAGTAGGGAATACCCAAGGGAATCGATCTTTTGAAAAATCGAATAAGTATCGGACATCCCTAGCAGATTACACCCCAACTTCCGTGACACCAATTTACAGGAACGAAAAGTATTTCTTTCCTATAGAAGGTGCTCGAATTAATGTATATCACTAACCGAAATTTTCTTACTTACTGTACTTGTTAAGTGACTTTGGTTGAATTATGTAATTCGCTAGATATTTCACGTTTCGAGTTCTCTCACAAAGTACGCCACAATCAAGTGATTGTTCATCATCAATCATTACCAACAAACCACGTTACGGGACATAATACAGACAACTCCTGTTTTTTTTTTTCGTACTTTTCGTATGCTCAACGAAAGGTCGTCAAAATTGAACAAGCATAAATTTTACACCAACGGATCGGAACAGGATCTCGATCCCCGAGAATCGACTTGAACGCGAAAGGCACGCGAGAGAACGAGGTACGCCGGGCTATTAAGGGGTAATGTCTCCATTCATTCGAACCCCGAGAATTTCTCACGCAAGAAAGCGTTCGCGACATTCTTCGATCAGCCGCGCCTCGTCGACATTCTCTCTTCCAGCCATACAAAGAGGTTCTTTCCCTCGTGTCCGATCCACACCAGGGTCGGGAAGAGCCGAGAAACGTCAGTGGATGAGAGGGGGGGGGGGAAACGCAGTCGAATATTTTCCTGTCTGTGTATGTGTTAGTCCCGTACACGAAGGAATTACCTTGCTTCCAGAGCCAGCCCTCCTTGTCCGGGTTGAAGAACGTGTGCATCAGGTCGTTGCCGTCGTCTTCCGGTATCTTGAACGGTTCCGTCTTTATACTTTCGTAGAGGCTCTGGGGAGCACAGAAAATGTTTGACTTTAATACACCGAATCATTCGAATACTTCGTGAATACAGCGATTCATTCCGATAATGCGTTATTCTAATTTCCTTGTGGAATACATATTGCGATTACTTTATACGGCGCATTCCTTTATCTTTCGTAAGCTTAGACGTTATTTCGTCCTTGTCTGGGAAAAGGTAGAATAAGAGGAACAGAGGAAAATACCGGAGAGGTGTTTTAGGGTGTTAAATAGTTAAAAATGAATGTAAAAAAAAATTAAATAGGTTACCTTTTAAATACCAAGATACACCATATATATCAGTCTCATAATTATGAAATAAAGATTTAAGGGTCTGGACGTTAAAGGGTTAAACGATCCGTAATATTGCAATAAAAGTTTTACAGAAATGCTACGTAAAGGCGGCAAGGAACGGATAACCTTCAATTGTATCGATTTATTGTGTAACCGATGGTTGGATGTTATCGATGCAAGCAATTGATACAAAGCCACGAACGTTAACGGTTTTCCTTATCGAGGATCAAGGCGATAGATGATCACACCACTTTTCCACCACTGGAATCGGCGCGTTCCAGACGATCTCGAGATCGCACCGGTATTATTTTCGCCCGTGACCACCTAGGCTGTGTCGCCTGGGCTATTGTCGGCGCACCATGCCCACTTTGCATGAATCTGTCATTAAGGAATCAATGCAACGGACTTCCCCGTTAGGACTGCCCGGTCATCTAATAACCGCGAGCGACTTCTAAAGCGCGCCAATTGCTTTATATCCTGGCCACGAATAGCGCGGATGGTAGCCACGCGCGCACTTACGCGACCTTTCGGACGCCTCTAGCGAACGTGCTCGATGACGTACGTCCGTTGTCGCGTCTGTGTCCATTGTATTATTTATTGTGGTTTATTAGGGACCACTTGTCGCTCGAGACCGATCGTCGAGCGATCGAATTTCTGAAGGAAATCCTTGATAGTACGATAGAACGTCGTTTAACGATTACCAATCATAGGCTGTCATGAATCGATCGCTAATCATTGGGTATCGGTCACCACTTACGGATCATCAGACTTGAGTGCTCAGTCATCAATTATTGATCAGTCATCAGTGATCACCAATCATCAGAGATGAGTCCTCAGTCATCAATCACTGGATCAAGTGCAACCAACTCCTCAGTCAAAACCTTCCGATCATAATCCACTATCATCGATGATTTAAACGAGTAACCATCATCACTGATTAACAAAATCTGAAATTACAACTGGTGTATAATTGTTCCCCACCTACAATTCATCGTTCAGGATCAAGTATCCAATGACTACACACCCACATCATCGAAAAACGACTAACAATTCCCTACAACATACACTGAGGTGCATCAGAGCATTGCAACAGCTATTTTCTCATGAATGCATCGGATTGTATATCAATGTAATAATAATCTAAAGGTAGACGGTTGCACATGAGCTCAAATAACATCGTAATGCCAGTGCGCGCGAGCGTTGTTCCACAGTTACACCTCGGAAAAGCGACAAATTGTAACTTTACCCGCATCGCAGCATTCGACTGCGTTAAATCGAGGGGCCCCGAGATGAATATCACCGTTGATATACTGTTACGATCTCTCGTTCGAACGCCAGGCATTTCCGGCGATAGAGCTGTGTAACCAATCATTACGGGTGCCGGTTGCACACGCGAGGAAACTGTTACACCCGCGGCGTCGCTCTAATTGCAGGAAATCTCTCGCGCGTACGATCGTGCAGTTACGCGGCAGACTTAGCGCGAAACAAAGTGATTACACAGTTTTTTCTTTGGACAATCCGACCAAGCAAAGAAAAAAATTTCAACGTGAAACGAAGACAGGAATCTTCAGTTCGAAACGACCAGTTAAGCTGAGCCTTTCAACGGCTTCGTATAACACCGTGACGGTGATTATCTTAAGCTCGTTGTTGCTTATAGGTTATGATTTCTAAAACAAAAAAAATTGTCTTCCGTGTAATTGTCAAAAACGTTCGTCCTTCCGGTGGATTAAGAAGCGTTTCCATTCTCAGAACTTGCCCGTAGATAAGATGACATTAAATATACACGATTTCTGTGAAACTTTGATTAGTACCCGAAACGATCTACGGCTGAGGTAGGGAGAAATTTGGAGAAAAACTCCAAATTTCGGGTACTAATCCAAGTTTCACTGTATACTACACTCCAGGGCGGAATGTACACTCACCACAAGTAGCTCGCGCGGCAGATCACCGCCGTTGTTGATACCCCTGTTCATGGAAATGAACTGCTCGACGCTCGGTTTGTCCTTGACGCTCGGGTTGTGCAACGAGGTGTTCAGCATGATGATCGCGAAGCTGAGCACGTAACAGGTGTCGGTGTTCGTGAAGATGTTCGGGTTCAGCTGGCAGTACCTCTGCGCGAAACATTCCATCATCCTGTCGATCTTCTGCGCTTCGCCGGGCAGCCTGAACGACCAGAGGAACTGCCTGAGCGCCTGGACCAGGATCAGATCCGTGAAATCGTGGAGTTCGACGAACGCTCGAAGCACCCTCTCGTTGAAGTCGTGCCTTTCCCCAAGATAGTCGCCGATCGCGGTCTTGTTTAATCCCTCGCCCTTGTAGAGAAACTGGGCGACGTCCTCGGGCGTCGCGGCCAACAGATTGTGCTCGATCAGGTACTCGATCCCTTTCTTCGGGTCCATGTTGAACTTCTTGCGGCCGATCGACGTCTGTTTCGCCTTGTTCGAGGGCTTGGTCTCGTCGGCCGCGAGCCCGCCGCCCTCCATCGCCTCCATCTCAGCCACCACCTCGCCCAGCTCATCTTTCAGTTGCTGGAAAACGAAAGAAAGGCAGGGTGTCGCGTTAGAGGATCGTCACAATGGCTTCTCTCGAGCTGTGATCTTGGGGGGATGCCCACGGCTTGGTATAAGACGACTTCGGAGGAGGGGAGAATGTCTGAGGGGAAATTACCTGGAGACTTCTGGGGTGTGGATTTAATTCTGTTGGGGAGATCGGAGACTCCGAAGGGGTCTATCGCATCTGGTCTGACTTAGGAGAGGGTTGGTATCTCTGTTACTTATTGGTTTAGTGGAATTCGTTTTTAATGGAAAGACTGTTTCGAATAGAGTGGTTTAAATTATTTTAGCCGTTTCAGAGGACACTCCCTCTCTAATTCCTCCCCTGCCGAGAGGGAAGCCGTGACACGAGCGTGCCTCTCCCTACCACGTGCTGTTTATCGAACGATACCCCGAATGCACGGACGCTTCCTGCTGTCAAGATCACTAACAAAGCGTCGACACGATATCGCAAAATGACAAAGTGATTTTGTTAACCCTTTTGATTGGTAACAACGCCTATACAGGCCTGTATCCTAAAGAGTTAAGGAAAGACAACTTCAGTCTTCTATTAACCAGATTCGTAAAATATACAACAGTTCAATGGCCAGTATTGGTATAAACATGCGGATTTCCTGGAGCATTACCGGTTGAGGAACAGTTTCCCTTGTGCGTTCTGCTTGTGCGCGTACACGCTGGATTTGGAAGTTCAAGCATGGATTCCGGTATCCTTTTTCGGTTTCTCGCCATAATGGACCAGTCGAGGTACTAGCAAATTCCATAGCAATGATTGAAAGTCGTTGATCAAGTAATTCTTCGTGCTCTGACAAATACTTAGCGGCAGTTCCTTATATCAGTGGTAATAATAATTTATTTATCCACGAGACGAAAGCACATTTGTTATCGCTGCATTCGCTGTTATTCGCTGCTGGGGGACGTTTCATTGCATTTCAAAGAGTTCTTTCGATCTACGAAAAATGAACTGAAACCCGAATAACCGAATAGCGTTAAATTATCCATCATATCGTGATCGTTCAGCGAATCGAGAACCAGCTGAACCGTTCGAGTAGAATTCGATCGTAAAGGAGCAACTAGAAAGCGTGGAAAGCAAATCCTATCGAAACAAAACCGAATCGCGGTTGTTCGTACATTTCAAGCATCGATTTTTATGGACTTCGATGGTCGGTGTAAAATTTTCAACGACACAGGTGAAAGGGAACCACTCGTAATATCAATCCAATAAAGTTTCACGACAGAAGAAACGCCAGTTCAAATAAACTCTGTATCATATACCGGTCGTAAAATGGCCAAATTACATTTGACGTTTACGAGAAATTCGCGTTCTTTTTAAATTAAACTTCGCGGAACCAGAGTCAAGAGATTATTTTCTATGAAAGAACAACAACACTTTTAGCTGTATTTCACATTTTCAGCGAGCAAACGAGAGGGGGAAAAATTGAAACGAAGAGACCTCGACTTCCCTACTTTTCTAAGAACATTCTTCCTCTAAATTACTTTCCGCGACGTCTTACACAACACTTCAAGGCTCTCGGTGTGTCTCACGGTTGCGTTTTGACCCGGAACCCACCACCTCCGACCTTAATCTGGGATCAGACAGCCCCGGAAAAACGTTTGTCGCTTGCTGGCGAAGCCTCTTTAATTGCGAACACGACACAACGACGGTCCGGAAAACTTTGGAAAGCGCTTTTACCGCGGCCGGTTAACGAGAGTGCGCAGTGAAATCGACCAGTGGACCGTGCACGTTTTGGCAACCCTCGAATCCCTTATTATTTTCAAGCCTTGCCTTCGTTCTTCTCTCTCTCTCTCTCTCTCTCTGTTTCTCGATCTACCGTTTCGTGTGCTGGTACAGTTTCCAGAAATCGCTGATATTCCATTGAACTCGAATTGCCAGTAACACGTGAACATCATACGAAAACGAAGGTATCGGAGAAAATATAATTCTGAATCGTAATTTTCACTCGTGTCGTTTGTAAATGTTTTTATAAATGTTCGCTGGAATAGTGTTCCCGAGATTACATTTAAGGTATCTTAAAGATTCGTAACTTTAATTGTTTATAACTTTAAAATTATCACCTAATATTTCACGTATATCATTAGGAACCTATATATTATCATCTGACAAAACTCTATTAAAATAGACGTTGGATAGTTGGGATCTTTCCCTTGTTAGTGCCGAGAATCTGTTGAACATTCATTGTAGATTTACTGTATTTTGCGTCCACGATAAACACAAATTCACCAATAAAACTAGTACCACATCGAAGATTTTCTTTCTCTTTCAATTACTCTACCATTCCAAACTCACTCTACGAACCGAACTGACCAATTCTCATCTGAATCCTCCTGTTTTTCCCTCTGTTCTCGTGAGTTCCAATTCCACTCAAGTAACGAGGTCTTTCTGTTACTCCGAAAACAAATCTCGCGGTCTTTTCTTTGTTCTCCGAAAGAACTCTGAAACTTTCCCGAAACCCAAGGATCCTCCACGTTTGGGGGAAAGAGGGAATTGACTGGAAGTAGGTAGAGTGTTTGTTCAGGAGGGGCAGGATAAATCCTGGTTAATTACCAGACAGAAGGATATCCGGGCTAATTAATGTTCGACTTTCTTTCCCGCGCACCGAAGAAGCGACTCCTCTACGGGAATGCTCGCGTCGAGAGAATATTCATCGATCTCCCGCCATTTCCTCGTTCCCCATGGAATTATTAACCTGATTTCCAGGTATTGTCGAATTAATTGCGCGCGCGGCTTTTCCATTCCTTCTGCACCGTTCTGCCAACCGATTCATTTTCACGACTTTCGATTCGTAATTGTCGTGCTCGCGGAACCCCGACTGGGCGATTTCTGTTACACTTTCTTCCTTGCGTTGCACGTTCGAAACAACGGAGTTTCTTGAATCGAATTTGCAATTCAAGGAAACGTAATATAGGTAACTCGAGCTTTGGATGAAACTTTAAATTGTTACTCGGTGCAATTTGTTTGTTATTTAGTAGGACACGATTATATCGAGAGAAAGTTATCGCAGCCGCTTGAAAAGCGAACGGCCATTTATCACCGTCCAGTGTTGCGATACCACTGAAATTCGTGGGGTTTGCAGATGCTTGTTGCGAAACGAAGTCGACGAAGACATATCGAAAGTTAACATCTCGTCAACAAAAGCCTCGAATAACATTTTTGCTAAGGAAAAACTTGTTTCAAATCATCCCAGGAACCCCCTTATTTCCGGGAGTCGAAGCTATTTTGGAACACCCTGTATACGATTCCGATCGGGATCTCCACAGAGGTCGAAGATCTCTAAAGATTGCCGTGCAAATAGTCGTGGCCCGGCGAAGCACCTGCCGTTTGCTCTTCAGGGTCTTCCACCGGCTCGTTTCTACGGTCTTTCTCTACGTCCTTTGCATAACATCGTGTGGATCGTCGTTCCGCGACCCGAGGCCGAGTCACTTTTTCTCCCCTTCGCTCCAGACGATCCATAAATCTTCCATTTTGTTTTATGCCCCGTCTTATGTAATCACATTTAGTTATTCAACGTTCCAAGGCAGGTCGAGTCACCTGCTACTGAAGCCTTCAGTATTTTCGATTACACAGAGCGGAGACGAAGTATCTTCCTCGTGCAGAGGCAGTTTCGAAAATAGGGAGTCGAGGGCTTTACGACCGTAATCTGTAGATCCGCAAACGCTTTACTCTCGGGATATACGGTGCTTTGACGATGGAACCATCAAGGATGAACGTGTTTTTCTATGTCTATCACGTTGGTGAAAGGAACTGTTTGTTGAAAATATGTAAATCGATAAGTTAACGATCTTCTTCATTTGAAGAAAAGGTTTCAGAATTAGCGAATCAATCTATCATTTGGTAACATTTTTACTTTTTCACAAAATTGGAGAATATATATATTGAATACATATAGTATTCATATTTTCTGAAAACTCGAAAGTTTTCGTTCGGTAATTATTTACGATTTTCCTTGAAACATCTTATGAATTATAAAAGGTAATGTCAAATATAACTCATCGATAAAATCGGCCATTTCGCGTGAAACGACCCAATAAGCAGAGAACTGACCCGTGCTTATCGACGGAATACTCGATACGAATTTATCATCCTGTCTGTCAAACCTATTCGATGGTTTCACGGTACCGCTAATTAAAGAAGAATTCGTTTCCTGAATCACGAATATTTCTATCGATAAAAAAAAATACGTAACCCTTATTTTTACCTGTTAACAGACATACTTCCGTGCTTTCCCTTGTCAGATTTATTTCGCCAACACAGCTGGAAAACACGACATCGGTCCCCCGTTGTGTCGCGCGCGCGTTTCCATCGACAAGTGTTTCTTCCACGACAGAATGCACGGTACGTGGCAGGCATCGTGAATGCATACGGTTAAAAATAAACCTGTACTTCCCTTAGGCGGAGGGCCACACGATAAACAGTTTTAGGATGAGCCGGCCGAAAGGAAGCGGAAAATTTACGCCGTCGTGCCTGGGGACCCCCGATGAGCAGTTCCTTCCTTTAACGTTTCTGGAACTCCGAACAAAATGCCTACGTGGTCTCCCCCCATATCCTCATTTTACGTTCTCTATATTTTCACTTCGTTTCACTTTCGATTACTAGACTGTGGATTTTTTTATGCATGTAATGTCTCGCGAAGGAAGTGCTGAAATAGTAATGAATTACCATAAACTACGAAGACACATTAGGTCGTTCGAAAATTTCATAGTGTCTAGACTCTAAATCCTCTAACTTACAACATACCTACTTCGTCACCTTCTTACCATACAAAGGAAAAATCCTTTGATCGGTTACCCTTCAATCGAGAACGATTTGAATGTTGGACAGGCGATATTAAGAACGCCAGACTTTAAACGAAGGCAACAAAGAATGCACCGACGTTATATCTCTCTTTTTGCTTTTTATTTCATCCCCGTTCCATGTCCTCGGTCTGTCCGAGGATCGAACTTCCAGCCGGAACGGCCAG